GTCACCCTCTTTTATAAACATAAGAAGAAATTTGGACGTATTTTTACAGTGTTGAAAAGGTACCATCAACTTTAATTTATCCCTAAAACCTAAATTTCATTCTTGACTATATATTGAGTGCTGAATTTGATAAACAAATTAGATACTGTTCAAAAGGAAATTATTGCAGAAGTATATGAATTTTAAACACCCAAGATTCCATCTCCTTTGACTTGCAGTATAGCTATATAGGATGAAACACTTGACACACAAAATCCAAATAAGAAGTGGCTGGGGGTCATGGTTTTGGGTAGAAGAACATTTCTGTGGACAACTAGTTGTTTTACAGAAATGTTAGGTTTCATATATGTTATTGTTAGGATAGGTAGACTTATAAGGACTTTCTTGGAAGGTGGCAAGTTTAGAAAAGATAGCACAATCTTCATGAATATAGTACCTGGGAATGCATTGTGGAAATAAGGATAGCAGACTGCATGTAGTCATTCTATTTCGTCTGTGTAGCTTACTTCTTCATAGTCTTCTTTTTTCCAGCATGCTTTAATTAGGAGAGAATAAAGGGCTATTTAATAAGAAGTCAGATAGGTAGCATAGTAATACTGTCTAGTTTAAAACTTTCAATAAAGGCACTGAGATTTATGGTTTTCATGACTAACATATTCATTAAATGCATCAACCAACAATGTACCAAGAGGATATGATTTTATGAAAGAGAATGTTACTTTTCATACAATTCTAAAAAAGGGCTTTGTGCTTCTTACATAACATTGGGATTGTGTATATTTACTCCTTACAACTTGAATTTTAAAGATACTAGTATTTTGAAGATGCAGCCTATACATATTAATAACCTTTTAGGAATATGAAGATGAAGATTGTTTTTCTGATTTTCTTCCATCTGAGATTTGACTTTTATACCCAGCCATAGTTATAAAGTAATAACCTGCTCTGGGTATAAACTTGGTTTTCTTTATTGAGATTTAATCATTCATAGAAGACAGTCAAATAAAGTTCAGGTTACTGCCAGGTGATGGTGGCACATGCTTTTAATCCCAGCACTCGGGGAGGTGGAGGGAGGCAGATCTCTGAGTTCGAGGCAAGCCTGGTCTCATATTGAATTCCTGGACAGCCAGGGTTACGCTACTGTCTTGAAAAAACAAAAAACAAACAAAAGTCCATGTTACAAATTTTTAATACAGAGTTACTATCTTTCAAATGTGATAAACTGTGTTTCATTGTTCCAAACACTCAGGTCATTTACTTGTATCGCTGTGGTCTCTTCAGTAAGAAGAGGAGCTGTGTATATTACTATGAATTAGCTAAAGAAAAGTGTGTTTAGAAAGCTACAACTACTTTTAGATGAAGGATGAGAAACTGGAGTGTGTTTTACATTTTAAGGTAAAAGTTTGTTTTATATTTGAATGTTCACAATTTTCTCTCAGAAGAGTGCCAGGCACTTTGTGCTTTTGAAGTTTTATTTATATGCATTATGTTTATTGTTATTTTTATTTTGACTGGAATGTCTGTTAATGTAAATTGTATTTATTTTTATACTTTGATTTTCACTAGTCTTGCTTCTAGGTAAAAGGCAAAATAAACTTTTCATCCTAAAGGAAATCTTGTTAGATCTTTTTATTTTTAACCAAGGGAGAACATCTGGGGACTAGATGCTAAGGAATATGTACCCAAATAGCATCTGAGATGATAGCATTTACAACTTAAGCCTGATGATAGGCATACCTGTAGCCTGCCCTGCTGCTACATTTGAATAATGTCTTTGCTTCTTAGGAGTTAGACACCTGACAAGAGCAATGGAGAGACAGGAGGGAGGGAACACTTAGATGGGCTCTCATAGTGATGCCTTTGCCTTTCACATTGAGAACTCTAATGTTACCCCAATAGCTAGTTGTCCCCTCTTGCTGAGATGCTGTATTTGGCCATCTGCAAGGTTCAGTGCTCACACACCTTTGATCACTCTAGCTCACATTATCTTCATGTTCTTAGCAGTGTTGGAAATGACTGGAAATCACTGATGCTATAATGTACTAAATTATACAAATGAAGGGACTGTTTTCATCAGAGGTCACTGTCCCATGAGCACTCCAGTCTATGTTTAACCCAATGAAAATGGTTCTAGAAATAAGCAGTGCTGCTACTATTGGGAGAGTCTTGTCTACTCGGGGTTACTATTGCTGCAATAGTAATTTGGGGAGGTAAGGCTTTATTTGGCTTACACTTCAGCATCACTGATCATCATCCAAGGAAGTCAGGACAGGAACTCAAACAGGGCAGGAACCTGGAGGCAGGAGCTGATGGAGAGGCCATGAAGGGGTGCTGATTAAGAAAAATGCCTTATAGCTGGGTCTTGGTTTGTTGGTTGGTTGGTTTTTCCAGACAGGATTTCTCTGTGAAACAGTTCTGATTGTCCTGGAACTCACTCTGTAGACTAGGTGGGCCTCGAACTCATATAGCTAGATTTTATGGAGGCATTTTCTCAATTGAGCTTCCCCCTTTCAGATAACTCCAGCTTGTGTCAAGTTGACATCAGACCAGCCAGTATACCTAGCATCCACTAAGCTCCAGGTTCTACCCCCAATACCACACAAAGCATGTAACATCAAGTTCCAAAGCCCTGAAAAACAAAGACTTTGGGATAGAATGCACTGCAATCTTCTTTGGTCACTGTAACAAGGTTAAGAATTGTGTCAGACTTGTCATATGTCAGTTAAAAATCAGCTTAGGACTGGAGAGATGAAATGACAACAGTTAAGAGCTGATGCTCTTCTTCCAGACCCCAGTTGGGTTCCCACATGGTGGCCTCACAACTGTCCAACTCCAGTCCCAGGGGATCCTATATCCTATATCCTCTTCTGGCCTCCACAGATGCCAGATACACGTGGTGCAGAGACACACATGGAGGAAAAACACCCATACATATAAATTAACTGGAATTCTGAAGCTATCTAAATAGGTAAAGTGCTTGCTGCACAAACATGAAGATTCCCTAGCACCTACATAAGTCTGGAAAACAGGCTGTGCACCTGCAACCCTGGCATCTGTGTGTACGTGTGCATTGACAGGCAGATATCTAGAGCTTGGTTGCCACCCAATTAGTTACACAGCTCCAGATTCAGTAAGAGAAACCTTGTCTCAAAAACATAAGTTGGAAAGCAATAGAGGAAACACCACCAGATATAGATTTCTGGAGCAATTGCATCTGCACATATGTGTACACATGCATATACCACACAGACCCACAGACCATTCCCCTCTCCCCCCAACACACACACAATTAGAAGCTGAGTATAGCAGTTCATGCCAACAATCCCAGCACTCAGGGATAGTTAGACCAGTTTCAACAACAATGCAAACAAACTAATTAAACAATAAAATGCTGCCTTTTAAAACCTGGTTCTCTTCAGTGTTTCTCCATGGCCCTCAATTCTCCAGTTTCTTTGTAAAAAAATTATATTTATTTGATATGTACAAGTGTTTTGCCTGTGTGTTTGTCTCTGACCACATGCAGCTGGTGCTTGTGTTGGCCAGAAGAGGGCATCAGATCTCTTGGGACTAGAGTTACAGATAGTTGCCAGCCACCAAGTGGGCGCTGGGAATCAAATCTGGGTCCTCTGGAAGAGCAGCCATTGGAAGAGGCATTTCTCCAGCTTCTGGACTGAGGTTGGCAGCTGGCACTACAGAGAGGAAGGCTCTGAGAACAAAGACTGACTTTTTCCTGCCTCATTAAGCATGACTTCTGACAGCCAACCGAGCGACTTTATGATAACCTCTTTTCACCTTACCATTACAGTTACCTCAACTACACAGACCAAAAAACTGGGACTCTGCAAACCTTAGTTAGTCCTCGTTGAAGCATACTTAATTGCCTTTTCCAGAACTCAAGATGGTGCTCCTTCAGGAATGCACTTGGAAGTAGAACCAGGAAAGTATGAGTAGATGATGTCTGGTAGTTTCCCAAGTCTAAATCCATCCTCTCCTCTCTCTCTCTCCCTCTCTCTTTCTTTTTCTTTTTTAGACAGGGTTTCTCTGTGACGTTAGAGTCTGTCCTGGAACTAGCTCTTGTAGATCAGGCTGGTCTCAAACTCACAGAGATCCCCCTGCCTCTGTCTTCTGAGTGCTGGGATTAAAGGCGTGCGCCACCACCGGGCCTAAACCCATTCTTATTTGAGTTAGAGTTAAGAGTTAGCTGAGAATCTCAGCACTTACTAGTTTTGAGCTCCAGTTTTCCAAAACCAAGTGAATAATGATAGATACTCCAGAGGTGTCTATTAAGAAAGCAGTGTGCAAAGTGTGTTGAATACAATTATCTGTTATTACAATATCGTAATTCATCCATAAAAAAAAAAAGAAGAAAAAAACACAAAATAGGACCCGCAAAGTTCTGTGGCCAAGACTGCTTGCTTATGTTCGGACGCATGTTGTCAGTTGTTGGAAAAGTGTACCCAAAGTGCCTCACCCTACGAAGCGCGGAGAGAACCCAAGCCAGACAGCGAATTTGCTTCTGAATCTCTCTAGTGGTCTGAACCTCAGCAGGGATGGATGTGTACACACTCACCTGTCACCAGAGGGCGCAGGCAGGCCAAGCAGCTGGCAGCCCTCGTGACTCTCAGGGCCCTGGCGGGTCAGTGGCATAGCTCAGAGGGTAACGGCATCTAAATGTCAAGCCTGATGACCTGAACTCAAGCTAAAGAAGGACCAGAACCTGACTGTTAAACCCCGGTCTCCAAAGTGCACCGTGACATATCTATGCACTCATAAATATGATTTAAGCCAGACGTGGAGATGTAGGCCTTTAATCCCAGCATTCGGGAGGCAGAGGCAAGTGTATTAACAAAATAAAATACCAAAACAAATTACGCGGGATGACGGACCTAGGTTTGCGGTGGTGGCGGGACGCCGACAACCACGACTGCGCTTCACAAACGCTGAGGTCCCGAACCTGGAAGAAGTTGCCCATTACAAACATGGCGGATGACGGAAGCCAAGATCTTCAGAGCGGAAACTGCCCTTCACAAGCATGGCAGCCAGGGCGGGGCCAAACTTCTCTGGACTTGAGAAAAGGGGCTGAGCGCCGAGAACAAGCGGTCATGTGACTGGAAAGATGGCTGTGTTTCCCTGGTAAGGAAGAACCGGCGAGTGGGCTTCGGGGAGGGGCGGCCCTTAGCGGGTCTCTGCGTGGGTGGGCAGTCTCCCTGGGAGTAGATGGTCTCCATCCCAGCTTCGGTTGTCAGGACTACGGAAAAGCAAGACAGTCCATTGCAACCCCCTCGATTCCTCAGCCCTTCACTCAAGCCTCTCGGTCCAAGGCTTCCGCCTTCCTGAAAGAAGTTGACATGTCTTGGGGGGTTTAGGGGAAGGGGATGAACCCGCTCCGAGCCTGTCCCCGGGAGACCTGGTCGTTTGTTCCCTGAGCTCCTCAGCTCACCTAAAGAAAGCAAAGTGGGGCCATTCACACCACTATGTGCAGAACCTCGGACTTGCTTCGGAGCTGAGCTGTCAGAAGAGGGTGCCCAACGGAGGCCTTGGGCAGGCCCAAAGGAGGGATCAGTCAGTCAACCCCCCCTGGCAGCCTGAGAGAACCACGCTGAAGAGCCTTCAGCTGGTCTTGCAGGATGAATAGGAATTCACCAAGCAGCAAGGAAAATGTGTGCCAGCGTGAATGGTACATGGGACTTTTTGTAGCGGCAGGTGATTTGTGTCAATAAAGAACCCACATAAGATATGTTGATGGTAATGAGGTTCGGGATTGGAGAACTTGCATTTCAGGGGGCCAATTTTCCGTGTTTTCCGATGATGGCAGGTAGCTTGCAATGTTTGAGTCTGAACATGAAACAAAGTGGCAGCCCTAGGCCTTGAACACACTCAACATCAACTGTGGCTTTATGTTGGCCCCACACTTGACCTCATTCCCTCTCGCAGACTCTAAGAGACCACTTCAGTACACAGCACAGCCGTGTGGGTGCTGTGAAACTCCTAGGTCACTCCCTGGGCGTCTGTCAATTCACACTGCCTTGGCCTAAAGACCCTTTTGAGACTGGAGGTCAACAAGTGAGAAACATCTCGTTTCTCTAGTGAACTCTCCTAGAATGAAAGACTTCAGGAAGATGCTCTTAGCACCTCTCTCCGATACGGTTTTACCTTTGATTTTTTTCTTTTTTTAAAATTGGTTTTTGATTTTACATATCAATCCCAGCCCCCCCCCCCCATCCTGCTTCCTCTACCTTGCTCTTACCCTACTCCCATCCGCTCCTCAGAGAGGGTGTGGTCTCCAATGGGGCCACCAAAGTCTGTCCCATCACCATGCTGAGGCCTGACAAAGGTTTTCCCTGCTGTGACTGGCCTGAGCAGGAGTGGATGTTTCCTTTCTTCCTTCCTTCCTTCTTTTGTTTTTTTTCAAGATAGGGTTTCTCTGTAGCTTTGGAGGCCATGTCCTGGGTTTTGTTCAGTAGACCAGGCTGGCCTTGAGCACTGGGATTAAAGGTGTTCGCCAACTGCCTGGCAGTTGATATTTTCCATTATAAATTGCTGACAGGTGCCACAGCTCTGCTAGTGTCTAGTTTGTAGTCTTCTCACTCTGGCAGGGGCTAAACATTTCTCTGTGTGGTGGTACACACTCACCCTTCAGTTTTGATCTCTGACTTGGTGTTCCTTAATGAGAGACAACTGTGTCCATCTTCCTCCTGGTGTTTGTGAGTACACAGTCGTTCCTATGGATAGACGAGGGAATTGACGAGGCCCATGGGAAGTGTGTTTCTGTTCTGAAGATCACATTTCTCAAGGGTTGTGCTCAGCCTACAGCGTCTCATTTAATACCCCCAAGTCCATCTCTGATTTGAGGACATGGACTGATTGCTGATCTAAAGTCATGAAGCCTTCTGGGTAAATTCTAGGGACTTGGCAGCCAAGGAGTTCCCGACTTCTTGGAGTTTGCTCTTTCCCCAGAGGAGGGAAAGTCGAGGAGGGGATTGGCCTGTGTAACCAGGAAAAGCCATCTCTGGGGTGTGCGAGTGGGAACTATGCATGTCTTTGTTAGAGAAACAAATCTGACTTTGAGTAACTACTGAAACTGTAAGGCAGAGTATATGTTGTGGTGGCGGTGGTGGGGCTGCTACAGCGGAGGAGTTTGCTGTGGGAGAGAAGACAGGCTTGGCTGCACAGACAGTGAGTGGGACAGAATAGCAAAGGGCTGCCATCAGCAGATAGGATGTTGCTAAGGAAATTGTGGGCAGAGTCACCTGAGGTTCTCCTGAAGTGAGGTCTAGTGATCAAATGTGTGTGCTAGGGGGAAATCTGAAGAGATGAAGTGCCTCTTTCCCTCCTCCCCTTTGGCATGGGTTCCATCTCTCTCTCTCTCTCTCTCTCTCTCTCTCTCTCTCTCTCGTGTGTGTGTGTGTGTGTGTGTGTGTGTGTGTGTGTGTGTGTATGTGGCCTTTTCTCCAAGCCGCTCGTCTGATATTGTGTCCTCCCTCTGCCCTGACTCCTCTCACTCACCATCCTGCTCACTGACCCTTCCTCTTAACCCTGAGCTGATGAAGCTACATTTGCCATTTCCGTTGCTCTCCTTGCCTTTTGTCTTTTGCAACTGCCCAGCCTGGGCTTTTTCTTGCTTCTCTGGAACTCATTCTCTAATCCCTGTGTGGACCATGAGCCCTGCTGTGTCTGTCCTCTGAGCTCTGCTGTATCTGTCCAACACCAGGAGGTCCCTAGATCCCTGCTGGGTCTGTCCAGCTCTGGGAGGTTTGCTTCAAGCTTTGACTGCCTAGCTTCCCAGCAGCCACCTGCATTTTGCTTGGTTCATGCCATGAGTCAGCCAACACCCTGGAAAGAAGTCTGGGGAGACTGGGCTCTTGGTGAGCTCCCCAGTGTATTGGATCTGGCCTCACAGACTCAGGATTTATTGGCAGAATTTAGACTTTCAAGCAGCTTGAAAATTGTTTTTGTAGCTTAGTTGGTAGAGTGTTTACCTAGCACACAATATTTCGGGGTTCATCCCTAGCATGGTATAAACAGGGTGTGATGGGGCATGCCTGTAATTCCAAGGCTTGGGAGGGGGAGGCAGGAGGAATAGGAGTTCAAGGTCATACTCAACTGCCTAGTGCGTTTCAGGCTAGGCTGAGCTACATAGTGAGTTCAAACTAATAATAAAATAATTTCCTTGCTTTTATTTAGCGTTTTGTATTGTTCTTCCTAGCTCTGAATTGCTGTTCTGTCATGAAATCCAGAGAACAGTTTTAGGTCTTAGCCACCCACCTGGCGTCACCTCTGTGATTCACCAAATGTGTTACTGTTCACAGGCACTCCCGGAACAGGAACTACAAAGCGGAGCTGGCATCTTGTAGGTTGGAGACAGTGCCCCTGGAGTGTGGGGACTACCACCCACTGAAGCCCATCACTGTGAGTTCTCTGCAGGCTCCTTTCAGGAAGGAGGACCAAGTGCCTTGGTCTAGTAGCAGTTGCTTTTGCATGTTTGAATCAACCCCTCATTAGGTTAAACTCCTGTCACCCTTTGCACTCTATCTTCTCTTGTCCTTGACGTTGCTGTGGGGAAAGGGCCAGGACTCCCCATTTGGATGCTTCCTGGTCTTTCTGTTGGGACAGTGAGAGTCACTCTGGCCACCAGGAGGCATTGGGGGGAGGGCTGTCCTGAAGAGCATCTTAGACTGTTTAGATAAAATGAAAGCAGGCAAGAGGTCTGCTGGTCCCTCTCTGTTATGTGAGCATTCTTATTAACAAGTACAGCTGCCCCTTGTCCTTTGGTGTCCTGGAAAGATTGGCTTCAGGTACCCCACGGATACCAAAAGCCTCACCATATCAAGACCCTGATATAACATTTATATACAAGCTATATATACCTTCTCAGGTGCCTTACATCATATGTGGACCAGGTGTGGCGGTGCACACCTGTCATCCTCACACCAGGTGGGGTGGTGCACACCTGTCATCCTCACACTCAGAAAGTGAACGCAGGAGAAGCAAGAGTTCAAGCTAATCTTGGCTCTATGAAGCTATCTCAAAATAAATACAACATGATAGGCAATGGTGGTGCACACCTTTAATCTCAGCACTTGGGAGGCAGAGGCAGGTGGATCTCTGTGAGTTCAAGACCAGACTGGTCAACAAGAGCTAGTTCTAGAACATGCTCCAAAAACAGAGAAAGCCTGTCTTGAAAAACCTAAATAAATAATAAATAAATAAAACACTTGTATTACTCATAGTACCCAGTATTGCATTACTGCCACGTCAAGAGCTGTTCACTGTGGAGCTCAGGAAATAATAGTCTGCACTGGTCAGCTCAGATGCAGTTTTAGGCTTTTGGTAGTTCTGGGCTTTGAACCCAGGGCCTTATAGATGCTAGTCAGGTGCTATACCACTGAGCCATATCCCAAGACAAGCAGAATTTTTTTTAATCGAATATTCAGTCATGGAACACTGGACATTGGGTGCTAGTCATGTTGTGGTCTGTTATCCTACCTAGACATTGCTGCCAGGTAGATGGCACAGTGGCCTTGCTAGAAAGCAGATTCCCAGGGCTGGAGAGATGGCTTAGCAGTTAAGCATTTGCTGTTCTAGTGGAGATCCCAGGTTCAGTACCCAGTACTCCCAAACAAATGGAAAATAACCCTGTGGTGGTATTCTGGTTGTATATCAACAATAGGCTAGTCTGGCCTACCTGGTAAGGTTCTGTCTTAAACAAACAAACAAACCAAACCAAAGAACACACTTAAACTTACTACAACAGTGGAAAAGAAGTCTTTTCTACATTTTCAGTCTGACACCAGCTATGGGGTTTATTTGCATGTTGAGCAGTTTCTGCTTTCCTGCTTCCAACCTTTCATCCAGTTCTGACAGTGGTCCAGATTGGAAAAGGCAGTGTCTTCCTCTCTATTTACAGTCTGTACCTAATACTTGTGTGACCCCATATGCCAGATATCAGCAACCACTCTCCAGGAGATAACAGCTTTAGGGGGCACTTTGGGAGACATCTCTGTCTCCCAGCCACGACCTTCCCGCCACCTCCACATGCTCTTGTTCATCATCACAGATACTTCTCAAGTGCCTTCCGTGAGTGATTAATGTTCTAGGAGGCTCTCAGTGGTCAAGTTGATTATTTTTAACTCTGCTGCTGGCTTTGTCCTCCCTGGAAGGTGGGAATGAGGCCTGAACTAGCTCCTAGGCATAGTTTGTCTTCCTGAGGTCCATCTACACTGGGGAGCCCATGGAGATTCTGTCAATTTGTCACAAAACATAAGCATTGTCTCTGCCTCAGCGACTGGTCAATCCAGCTTCCATAGAAGGACAAAGTGATCTGGTTGACTGTCACCTGGTACAGGTTCTATGTGACCCCCCACTGTACAACTTTCTCCACAGGTTACTGAGTCAAAGACAAAGAAGGTGAGCCGTAAAGGAAGCACTTCATCCACATCCTCCTCCTCTTCCAGCTCCGTGGTCGACCCTCTGAGCAGTGTCCTTGATGGCACCGACCCCCTCTCCATGTTTGCAGCCACCTCAGACCCTGCAGCCTCAGGGACAGTCACAGTAAGTCTGAACTCCTGGCCAGCAGCAGCAGACCTCTGGGTGTCAGGTCCTTACCTGCAGGGATGCGGTTTTACGGTACACAATAATGCCTGGGAGCATTCTGGTTGTGACAGTTCAGGATATCCTCATACCTACAGGATTTTGATTAAGTGTGTTGACTGAGAGAGGCTGGGGGAGATCTGTGAGGTCTCTATTTCTCTATTTTTAATTTATCAATGAAACTAATTTTTTTTTTTTTTTTTTTTCTTTTTGAGACAGGGTTTCTCTGTGTAACAGTCCTGGCTGTCCTGGGACTCTCTTTGTAGACCAGGCTAGCCTTGAACTCACAGAGATCTACCTGCTCTGCCTCCCAAGTGCTGTGTTTAAAAGCATGTGCCACCACCGCCAGAAACTAATTTTGTTTTTAAAGACAGCGTTTCATGTAGTGCACACTGACCTGGGTGAGAATGACTTTGAACTTCACTGCCTCCTGCCTTTGCCTCCCAAAGGGCTGGGATTGCTAGTGTGAGCCACCACTCCCAGTTTGTTCAGTGCTGGAGATTGAACCCAGGGCTCTGTGCAGGCTAGGCAAACACTCTACCAACTGAGTCACATCCCTAGGTCCCCAACCCCCTTTGCATTTAAAACATTATTTTGACTTGTCAATTTGTCTTAGAGAACTTTCCATAATGTGTCCTTGTTATTTTGCATGGCTATGTTATATTCTGATTTCTTTGTTGGTTCCCAAGGAGTCTAGGACATTTGCTGGTGTTAATGGCACACTATGTCTCTTAAATATATATACCTCTTGGTGCCTGTGTACAGGGGGCACTTCCCAGAAGCTCTCTGGGCTGCAGATGTGTGCAGTTCTGAGTGTTGCCACTGAGCTATCCCCTCCAAGGCCTTATGGTCTGTTTTCCTGCCAGTGGTGCTAAGTTTCCCCATTGGGTAGTAACGGTTATTTTAATTTTCTATTTGGACTGTTGGAAATTGGGTGGGTGTTTTTTTCAGTATGCTTTATAATTTATGATTTGTTTATTTTATTTGGTGTGTAAGATTGTTTTGCCTGAATGTGTATGTCTACACTGTATGTGTGCCTGCAGAGGTTAGAGGAAGGCATGATCTACTGGAACTGAAGGTACAGGTGGTTGGTTGTGAGCTGCCATGTGAGTGTTCTGCAAGAGCAATGAGTGCTCTTAAACCAGAGTCATCTCTCCAGCCCCTCGGTGTGCTTTTTTATTTTTGTATTTTAATTTTAAAAGTGTATTTTGTATGTGTGTGTGGTATTCATGTGGATATGTGTTTGCATATGTGTGTGGGATGTGTGCAAGTATACACTTGCTTATGTTTGGAGGTCAGAGGTTGGAATCAGGTGTCTTTCTGGATTCTTCTCTATCTTGATATATTGAGGAAGAGCCTCTTGCATGAACCCAGAACATACAGATTGGCTAGTCTACCTTGCTAGATTGTCCCAGGGGTCCCATCTTCACCTCCATTCCTGGCAAGACTTAAGTTTGGTCCCAAGAACTCTCGTGAAAAGCTTGGACAGTGTAATGCACTCTTATAATCCCAGTGATAGGCAGGGAGAGATGTGTCCCTGGGGCTTGACTTGCTTGGATAGTTAGTCTGGCCCAGTAGATAAAGTTTAGGTCAGTGAGAGACCTTGACTCAAAGACTGCCTGAGGAATGACATCTGAGGTTGACTTTGGCCTACACACACATCCCAAACCAGTATTGAAACTGGATAGTGGTGACACACACCTTTAATCCAAGCAGTCAGGAGGCAGAGGCAGGTGCATCTCTAAGTTTGAGGAAAGCCTGGTCCATAGAGTGAATTCTGTAACAGCCAGGTCCCCCCTCAAAAGAAAAGAAACCAGTATTGCTGGGGATAAAGTATAGCAAGTGGTAAAGTGCTTGCCTAGAATGCTCAGAGATCTGAGAAACAAAATTGACAATGTCAACAAAAACTTCTGTCCTGAAGAGGTTTCCTTACCCTCCTTAGGACAGCTCCAGAAAAAAACGTGATAAGGATGACAACTCCTTCGTGGGACCTGATTTTGAGCCTTGGGCCAACAAACGGGGAGAAATCCTTGCCCGGTACACGACTACAGAGAAGCTCTCAATTGTGAGTACCTAGTTACCTGGCAGCCTTAGTGGCCCAGCTCCAGACCCCAGAGTTTCCCTTCCTACAGCAGTGTTATTTGGGAGAGGGTGTGCTAATTGACTTCTAATAAAGACATTGTGTGAAGAGCTAGGGGTGCAGTCCAGAAAAGGAATGGACAGTGTGGGCCTCTTGGGGAAGGTGAGTTAAGAGAGTACCCAGAGAGGAGGATAGAGTGTACCTCCCTCCCTGTGTCCCTCTTGGAGCTGGAAGCTTGCTCTTGGAGTGGCCAGGTAGTTGGCTGTGGCAGGGGCATGTGTCAAGTAGATGTCTTCCCTTTGTCCCAGGCAAGTTGCTCCCATCAGGAGTAACTGCTCTGGTGAGCAGTGCCCACCTTGGGCAATCAGTACTATGTTAGTTAAGGCCAGGCTCGGTACTTACAACCCAAGTTGTCCCTTTGGACAGCATTAACAAAGTTCTGTCTCTCCTTACTCTGAGGACGGTCTAGAGGTGGGGAGTCCAGGGTTGGGATAGCTACTTCAAGGTCCAGGTTCCAGATCTTTCTGTCTCTCCTGCTATTTCTAGTGTTGCCTCCTGTGTTGATAGAAGGAAAGTGAAAGAAAGATGTAGCCCCGTCCATTTAAGGAGGCCTCCTGGCAGTCCTGTGGTTTTGGAGGTGGCCATGGATAGTATATAGCTGCTAGGGAGGATGGCTGGGCAGTGTAGCTTCATGACCACCTGACTGCTGGGGAGAATCTCTCCAGGCATGTCTCTCCCCTTGCTCTCCACAGAGCCTGCTGAATAGAATGGCAGACAGAACTGATTGGCCATTAAACAATTTTTCTTCTATTTTCTTGACTGCATAGGTTAATTCAGAGAAGCCTTTCTCAGAAATCAGTCCTTTTAACCCCTGAGAGTCATTTGGAAATGTCTAGAATTAATTTTGGCTGGTACAGCTCTAGTGTGTGTTTGGCATGCTGTGGGCAGAGACCAGGGAGACTACAGAACTCCACACTGCATAGGCTAGACAACACAGAATGGAGCTTACAACCCATGAGGCAGGAGCATCATGGCTGAGAAACTTGGATTTAAGGGTGCCCAAAGGGCTCTAGTACTCAGTGCTGCCAGCACATCAAAGCTTTGCTATTGTTGGCTCACCTGGGGACCTCACACATGAGTTGAAGTTCAACTTTTAGGTAGTTTCTGCAGCCCACAACTTTTACTTTTGAATACACACTCTACTTTTTCATTTCCTCTTTGTGGTAAACCGTGGCCTCGTTGCCTTATACTAAAAGCAGCCTTGGGGTTGGAGAGACAGGGAAGCATTTAAGAGTACTTGCTGCATTTCCACAAGACCTGAGTTCAAGCCCAACCATCTATTTCAGGCAGCTCACAACTGCCTGTAACTCCATCTCCAGAAGGTCCCACACCTTTAGCCTCTGAGGGCACTGGCATTTACATGCACCTAATCCCCACACACAAAATGAAGACAGCAAAACATAAAAAAAAAAAAAAAAAAAACATTTTTTTTTTGGTCATTAATTTCTTTATTGTTTTTTGTCCCTGCAGAATCTGTTTATGGGATCAGAAAAAGGTAAGATGAATGTTCTGATTGGCAAGTTTACCAATTAGGGCACAATGAAGAGACTGGTTGCTAATCTCTGTAGAGGGAGCAGTTTTAGGTTACAGTTGTCTGGGAGAAGAGACCTGTGATTGACATGTTCTGTACACACTGTCAATATCCATACTCAGAACCAGGCAAGGTCATGCCATTTCCATAGGTCTGAGACACTGGGGTCCTTGACATGGTCATATCGATGCATGAATGCTTATCTTACAGGGGTACACTCACTCCCCACATTCCACCTTGTCCCTGGCTGCTGTGTTCTGAGCTGCTTCCTCATGACTTCCCATATTTGTGGGCTCAAACCCTTTAAAACCCTGAGCTGGGATAATCGGCAAACATTTCTCCCTTTAGTTGTTTCTGTTGGGCATGTTGGTCATAGTGTAGTTCTTGGTAATTAGTTTTGCCATGCTGTTAGCAGATAATAGACTCCTTGCCAGCGTGTGCCAGACACAGGAAATCAGGGCCTGAAAGGAGAATGTGAGTAGCTTTGTGTGTGAGACAGTGTTCTGCCAATGTGACAAAATACCCCGATCATAGAAAAAGAGGAAAGGTTGATCTTGACTCAACAGGTTCAGAGGTTTCAGCCCATGACTCTTGACCCTGTGGCTTTTGGCCTGTGCTGGCATTGTCTAGAGTAGTGGGAAGACAGGCCAGAGGAGGCCTGGTCACCTTATGGGAAATAGGAAACAGAAGTAGGAAGGGGCCAGGGTCCTCTCAAGAGCACATTCTCAATGGCCTAACTTCCTAACACTGGCTTGGTTCTGCCACCTCCTAGGGCATCATGAGCTGGCGACCAAGCATTCAACACATGGGCCTTTGGGGGCTATTCCAGTTTCATCATGTATTCATTTGGTAGGAAGAACAAGGGCTCAGTCAGTCACATGACCCTCAGTCCCTTCATGGGCAGCCCTTTGAAAGTGGGGAAATGATTCTGAAATTGGTGGGCTTGGATAGCCTCAGTGGTCTGGACAGATCCTCTTGCCCTCTGCCTGGCCTGTGACTTCCAGTCTGTCATTCACACCCACTGGTCCTGCCAGTATTGGGGATGGTGTTGACAGCTGCTGGATGAAAGCAGTTAGACCCATTTGCTTGGGAAGGGCCTTTGACATGTTCTTCCCCCTCTGAGCAGATGAAGAGATGGGCTGTTATGTTAGTATAAGGGCCTGGTAATGCTATGTCTTGAGTACACACGGAGAGGCACCTCAGTTCATGATAACAGCATGGCAGAGTGTTGGCATTGTTACTTCAGTAACAAGCAAACAGTGGGTGTGATTCACAAATACTGTATGTGGAGTTCACATTCTGGGGACTACCCACTTTGGTTCTGGGGGCAGCTGCTGGCGGGAAAAGCCTCTGCTAGAACTTGAGCCCGTGAAGGAGCTGGAGCTGCTTTCACCATCCCAGTGTTCTGAGGTGAACTCATTTCCTGGTGTGTTCATGGTGACATGCGGAAGATGCCTTTCGTGCTGGGTATGGGTGCAAGAGAAAACTGCTTGTGTGATCATTATCTCTCCTGTGTAGGCAGAGCCGGGGCTGTGGCTTCTGCCATGTCAGAGAAGGTTCGGACACGCCTGGAAGAGTTGGATGACTTTGAGGAGGTGAGCAGTCCACTTACAGGGCACAGTGAGCAGGGTATCTCCAGCCTTTCTCCCGAGGAGCCAGACTGGGTGGCTGCTCACTGTGCTAGGCTTTCTGGACCCTTGCCTTTGTTCAGGGAAAGATAATAGGACATAATGGCCAGGCACAGGGGAACCTGAAGTGAACCAGTCCTTCTGGAGGTCTCTTTTCACTTTGTGATGTGGGAGTAATCCTATCGTCTGAGGATATGGTTGGCAGTAAAATCCACATGAACTCACCCCAAGGAAACAGCTTTGTGTGGCATAAATATCACACCTTGGAGCATTGGTTTATATAGGGCCTCTCTGCCTGTTGGATGTGGCACACAGGGCCCCTGTGATTACTTGCCTGTGCTTTAAAAAACTGGCTTGTTGCTTTTAACAAGATCTTAATTGTTTGATTTTTACCAATAAAGACTCTGGAGCCAGATGCTGGGGTAGAAACCTGCTAGCTCAGCAAGGCAGAGACAGCAGCCAGCTGACCCCTCTCCTCAGTCAATGTCCCAGCCTCTCCCTTCTCCTATACTGTCTCAAAAGCCTCGTCAAACTGAAGTCCCTCCCCTCTACTTCCTGTGTGTCTCTCTGTCTGTCCTCTTGACTCCCTTTTACTCTCTGTGTTTTTTTCTTAATAATCCCATGTCCACTTACTGTCAACTGGTTGCTTGCTCTGCCTTTTGACCTATGGTTGACTTTATTTAATCATGTTTACAATATTCAAGCAGAAAAGTCTTGAAAGGTGCATGGTAGAGTTTAGCCTTACCACAACCAGAAACAGGTTTTTCCAGTAAATAATGAAATCTTGGGGTTCACAGGGTGATCAAATGTCCTGCAACACTGGGTTATTCGCCAGCTCTTAAAAACTGGTAAGTTTGGAGCTGGGGAGAGGGCTCAGTCAGTCATGTGCTATACAAGCATGAGGACCTGAGTTTGATTCCCAGCACCCACGTGAAAAAGTGTAGCGTGTTTGCCTGCACACATGTATATGTACACCTCTTTCATGTCAAGTGCCAGAAGAGGGCATTGCATCCTTTAGACCTAGAGTTACAGCTGATTATGACACCAATTGGGTTCTGGGAACTGAACCCATATTCTCTATAAGATCAGTGCTGAGTCACCTCCCTAGCCAAAAATCTTTATGCCAGAGTGTATGTAGGTACACAGTAGGTCTCGGTACCCCATGCAGCAGTAGTGCATGTCAGGATCATGACTTCATCCGAGGCAGGCATGGAGGCGGGGGGGGGGGGGGAGTGGGGGTGTGCAGATGCTGGGCACTGAGTGGCGGGGTGCAGCCGGTGCCCAGCTACTCAGTTTGGAGGCAGTGGTCAGCCAAGGCTTCCCCTTTTCCTCCTGTGTTCACTTCTGCCTTTTGACTGCAGGGATCCCAGAAGGAGCTGTTGAACCTGACCCAGCAGGATTATGTGAGCCGCATAGAGGAGCTCAACCAGTCCCTGAAGGATGCCTGGGCCTCGGACCAGAAAGTGAAGGCTCTGAAGATTGTCATCCAGGTCAGGCCCTGCGAGAGTTTGTGGTTTTCCATTTCTTGAATTCTTCTGTTAAATTCCAGTTCATTTTGATTTTCAGAGTCCTCCCTCAGGGTCTTGCCTTCATGCATCTCTTCCATATTCACAGATGTCCTTTGAAAAGCCATGATTATGAATCTGTGAGATGACTAATCGTAGAGCCACCGTGTACAGCTGCACAGGTTGTGTATCACATGATTCTAGGAACGACTGTCCCTCTAGACTACAGAATTAATGGTGTGCCTTGGGACAGCTGCTGTTGTATTTGTGGTTTGTGCACACTAAGTAACTGTCTTCCAGGTTGCCTTTGGAATCTTTGAGATCAATGTCCCTGTCATACATTTTAAAGACGTAGTCCTATCAGGAAAATGCATTTATATTGTAAAAAGAAGTGTGTTCAGCAACTCATCTTCATTTTTTTTTAAGATTTTTAATTTTTTTTTTAATTTATGCATGTGTTTGTATCTTTGTGAGTGTATCCTGTCTTTGCAGGTTACCATGGAGGCCAGATGAGGGAGTCAGGTCCCCAGAACCATAGTTACAATTGTGGGTCATCTGTTGTTGATGCTAAGGACTGAACTCAGATCAGTCAACAAGTGCTCTTAACTACAGAGCCACTTTTCCATCCCCAGGAAAAGATTATACTCCACTCTTTTGTCCTGAAGATTCTCCTATCTTAGCAAAAAAAGTGTTTTGGTCAGGGGCTGGATATGTAGCTCAGTTAGTAGAGTGCTTGCCTAGCATGCAGGAAGCCCCAGGTTTGATCCCCAGCACTGCATAACCTTGGTTGCTGTGTTGGCGTATAGCTGCAGTCTCAATACCTAGGAGGTGGAGGCAGGACAAGCAAGGTTCTCCTCATCTACATAGCCTGCTGGAGGTCACCTGTCTCATGATGGTGGTGGTGGTGGAGGTGATGATGATTTCAATGAAAAAGAAAAAAAAAACAAAAACAAAAACAAAAAGAAACAAAGAAAAGACAGCAGAGCCAGTGAGGCCCGGGGAGTTAAGCTGAGTTGGATCCGCAGACCGCACAGTGGAAGGAGAGAACTGACCCTGCAAGTTGTCGTCTGACCTCTCCATGTGCACCATGGCACACAGTGGCCAGTTCCGCCCCCACCCCCATATACAAAATAAGTAAATGCATGTACAAGAATTAAGAAAAATGAAAGAAGTGCTCAGGTCATGGTCAAAGGGAGAATTCACATACACCATGTTACTGTTTTGGGAGCAGTATGTCTGAAACAGCCATTTTAATTTAAAGGGCCAGCCATCATTGTCAGGTCTCATCATGGTAATGGGACATTTCTCTTCTCTCCTGATTCTTGTGAGAGAGGTTGGGCTCTAGGACTGTGTGCACATGGCTCTTGAAGTGTTTGAAGTTGAATCTGTGTGCAGCAGGTGGTCTTTCCTGGGGTTTCATGACTCAAGGGAAGCTGGGCTGTTTCCCTGGAGTCCCGGTTGTTTATAGAGTAAACACTCCCAGAGAAAGGGCCTCTCATCCTGCCTGCTAACTGAGGGCACCTTCTAGTTCTGATAGCTGCAGGTGCACTGTAGAGTGACCAAGCCTGAAGCTTGGGACTCCTGCAGAGGCCCCTGGCTCAGGGAAGGAATCCAACAGTGTCTGGTTAACCCTTCCCCTCTGGATCCCAAAGTTCTGAGACTTTCGGGAGATTTGTTCATGTTGTTCCATCTGGGAAGGTGGAGAAGAAGGTCAGGTGGTCATTTTCTCCATCACTCTGTAGATCTATCAGGCTTCATTATCCCCTAATATTTAACTCCTGAGCTTTATTTTTCAATAAAATAAACCATAATAATCTATTTTTGGAGGTTGGTATAAGGGGATGATAAAAACATAGAGGTGTAGAAGAAATAAGGTCCCTTATTTGTTCTGCAACTAGTTTTTTTTTGTTTGTTTGTTTGTTTTGTTTGTTTTGTAGAGCACTTGTCTAACTGGAGATCCTGGGCTCTGTCCCAGGACTAAAATCCCCCATCAAAGTAATTTTTAGCACATATATATTCCTAAATAAACCTGCTCAGTCTGTGTAATGTTATTACTATGTATATTTTCAGTGCTGACTGGCCATTGGTATTGGATAACCAATTGCTGTGCTCTTCCCTGGGGAAGCCTATTTCTCTCACTCTCAGCATTCCTTAGTTGCTTGTGTTTCTTTGTGTTGGGTTGAGGCCCTGTGAGCTGTCCCAGTCCATGTTAGCATGTCTGTTGTCCTTGTTCAGCTCATGGTTAGGCAGTCATTCTGGTGAGACTATGGATGTCCCTTGAGATTCTCTAGGACTTACCAGAAAAGTCTTAGGAAGTGGTACCACGACCTTTAAAACCATAATATCTTCAAAATGGTGTTTTATAAGGTAATTTTACTTCAAAAGGTTATGACTTTCTAACTTTGGATTTTAAAAAACTTCTGGTTCCTGTCATCCTTTATAAAACATGTTCTGTGAAACCAGCCCTGGAGGGAGTGAGCACACAGCTGTCTGGGATGTTCTGTCCCAGCTGGCCTCAATTGGGAGTCTTCTTTTGGATTTCTCCATCTTGTCTGAGCCACAGAGAGGAGGACCCCAGCAAGGCAGTGATGGAGGAGGAGGGATGTCATGTTCCTAGGAAACATGGGGGTGTGGACTGTAATCACTCTGGGATTTGGGGTTGTTTATGTTTGGGTTATTTCTCCCTCTCGGAGCCTTAAAATCCCCACAAGTGATTGTTTTAAGTTGGGAACTTAAATGGCTATGAAGATCACAAAGACAGCAGGAGCTGGAATCCCATATGCATCCAGATGCCACACTGGAGTCAGGATCCTTGTTTTAACAGCTCACATCTCCCTGCCCTTGAACATCTGGGCTGTGAGAGGGTTTCCACAGATCAGACACATTGTTTATGCATAGGCATGTTGTGCAGAGGAGAAACTTGGCCACTCTTACAGTTTAGATGTGGGAGGATGGAGCCAGAGTGGAAATACATGCCCAGGGGACTCAGCTTGCTGGGTATGTCCTGACATGCATGCTCTGCTCATGAGAAATGCATGTTCCTGGACCTTTCTTTAAAGTCCAGTTTACTTACTACTTACGAATATGTGATAAGTGAGAACACTTGTGCAGGCGTGGACATGTACAAGCAGAAGCCCCAGGGAACTCCACGTGTCTTCCTTTGTCACTGTCTGACTTACTTTTTCTTGTCTATCTCTGGCTGTCCTGGAACATGCTTTGTAGACTAGACTTCCCTTGACATTCACCTGCCTCTGCCAGTGCTGGGATTAAAGTCTTGTGGGATTAAAGCCACCACTCCCAGCTTCTACTTATTTATTTATTTATTTATTTATTTATTTATTTTTTTAGGAGTATCTCACTGAACCCGAAGGTCACAGTTTTGGCTACACTGGCAGGCAGTGAGCTGGCACAGTCTGTCTGTCTCTATTTCACAAAGCTGGGGGCTATAACATAGGTGACCATGCCTGGTCTTCTCCTGGGGTTGAGAGATTTGCACTCAGGTTCTGAGGCTTGGACAGCAAGTCCTTTGCAACTGTTGTCTGTCAAGGCCCTACATATTTGTTTTTAAGTGTTTTAAGTTTTTCTATCAGAACCAACCAGAGGGAGGATAAGACACAGGAAAGCTCTTGGGTTCCTTACCTTGGCTTTGAATTTGTAACAACTTCAGGGCATTACATCTAGTTCTTTAAAGTAGGAAGGCCAGTTCCAGGGGATCTCATGTACTGACTGACCTCCACAGGCAACTGCACACATGTGGTATGTGTGCACGATTACCCAATTAAATAAAAAATGGAGCTGGAGAGATTGCTCACTGGTTAAGAGCACTGAGAGCTTTTCTAGAGGATGAGAAGGCTTGAGTCCCTAGCACCCATAGAAAAGCTGGACATGTCAGGGTTTGCCTATAACCCTAGCATAGAGAGGTAGAGATAAGCAGAACACCTAGGAGATTACTGGACAGCAAGTCAGCCAGCCTAGCTGAAACCAATAGCTTTCCATTCAGTGGGAGACCCTGTCTCAAGGGAATAAGGTGGCGAGCAATAGATAAAGACACTTGACATCTTCCTTAGACTTCCATATGCACACATGGGCACAAACACACAAAGAAGTACAAGTGTGGCTAGAGAGATGCTTAGCATTTAAGAGCACTGGCTGTTCTTCCAGAGGACCTGAATTCAGTCCCCCACCCACATGACAGCTCACAACTGTCTGTACCTCCAGTTCCATGGGATCTGACATCCCTCTTCTGACCTCTGACAGCACCCAGGCTCATGCATGGTGCACATATACACATGCAGGCAAAACACCCGTGCACATAAAATCTAATAAATAAATAAATAAATAAATAAATAAAGGAAGAAAAACATGATGGCTTTTCTTATTGATGTCCCCACTCCCTGCTGGGAGAAGCTAACACAGTGTTTGGCATTCATCGGCATTTACTTGTTTATAGAGATCATTAGTTTTCCATACCTAGAGGTTCTCCACCAAGTCGGGCACACCGGAGTGAATGGCCTCTCCTGTTTTCTCTCTCTCTAGTGTTCAAAGCTGCTGTCAGACACGAGCGTTATTCAGTTCTACCCAAGCAAATTTGTCCTTATCACTGACATCCTTGATACGTTTGGTAAGTACTGCAGCCATGGTGTATCTAGGAAATGTATTTTTTGTCAGAAAGTAATTGTGAATGGTGCTTAGGTTGCATTCTGCTGTGGCTGTAGTAGGTTGGTAAGTCATCAATCAGGAAGACTGGACTGCTCTGTGATTTTTTTTTTTTTCTCTCCTGTTTTTAAAGTCAGGTCAAAAGGTTTTATATATAGAATACTATGATATATATGTGTGTGTGTGTGTATTATATTTTATCTTAACAAAGTAGCAGGTTATGTTTTTATTTTGATTGACACATGGTAATTATCAATATTTAGAGGACACAATGTGGCATTTCAGCACAGGTATACAGTGTGTGGTAGTCAGGGTCATTGGCATGTCTGTCCAATGCCTCAGACATCTGTGTCACATCCTCTTGTGAACACTCACAGTCCTCTGCACTAACAGTTTGAAATATTTAGTTACTTGTGGGGTTGTTTGTGCTCTGTACATAGAAGTCATTCCTCCCAGCCCATTGCATTGGTTCCTTTTTTACTAAATCTCTGAATGTTCTCTTTTCTAATCTTCACATAGGCAGGTCAGCAGCACATGTCCTGGCTAAGCTCAGGTTCATTGCCACCTTGAGAGCACCTGAAATTTACACGGATAGGAACTGTGTGTTTGTCAGAATTCTGTTACTTAGGGTAGTCAGTTGCTAAGGAAGAGAGGGTTATGCCTGGGCAGTGGTGGTGTATGTCTTTAATCCCCAGCACTTGGGAGGCAGAGGCAGGTGGATGTCAGTGAGTTTGAGGCCAGCCTGGTCTAAAATGTGAGTTCCAGGACAGCCAGAACTGTTGCACAGAAAAATCCTGTCTCAGAAAAAACCAAAATGAAATGAAACGAAACCAAAACAAAATCCTGCTGCAGAAGCTGGAGTGTCTGCTGAGCAAGGAAGAGAGGGTTATCTGGGCTCACAGTTGTGGAGTTTCCATTTATGATTTGCGCCTGTGGTGAGGCAGCACATCTTGGCAGGAATGTGTCAGGCATATCCACTCATTCATGGAAACAGAAGAGGAGCAAAGGGCTGAAGCCTCACACTGCCTTCAAGGGCACATGCTCTAAGTGGCCTGAGTACTTGCCACTAGGCTCCACCTTTTAAGTGAGCCTCACCTCAGTCCCAAGAACACTGCTGGAGCCTACACATTCTGAAAAACATGGACAGACAGTGAATATCTGAACCCTGGCATCTCAGCTTCTCTTCCAGTATTCTCCCTACCCTCAAGTGGGTCTGTCTCAGGAACTGGCTCTGCCATGCAGCCACTACCCAAGGTGCACACCTAGGCATGTTCTTCTGCATGCGTTCCTGAAGCTCTCCCCAGCTTGCCCATTTTCCTGTGTCTTCAGTCACCAGCTCTGTCTTGCCTGGATGGCAGTCATAGTGCCTCTGAGATCTTCTTGTTGGGATTACTCTCATCCTGGATCATAGACATCATGCAGCAGACAGAGATCTTTTACAGCTTAGTGGAAAGTTCTGGATGAAGAAACCAATCTGAAGGCACAGGAGTCCTTTGGCCTGGTGTGTAGCAGTGGGTGGTTGAGCCAGAACAGTTACCTGGACCAGCAGTGTGGGGGCACCCCAAAGGAACTTGCAGGTGCTTCCTTCTGAGAGCTGGAGGTCAGAGGAGGCATTCACTCTCTTACCAGAGAGGGGTCCATGGGCTCACAGCATAGCAGGGCTTGTATGTAACCCTTAAAGATCTGATGTGTAAGACAACAGTGTCAGCCAGACAGCAAGTCTATTTAGAAAAGATCAGTGACGTATGTCCTCTCTGAAGCAGGTGACAACAAACCTACCTGCTGAAGATCAGGAGTGGGTTCAGCTGGATCTAAGGACTTGTGTCCTGCTACTTTCTGCTGGGGTGACTTCATTCTTAAGATTCACACTGTGTTCTGTGCGTCCATCAGCTTTACTGCTGGTAGTTGTCGAGTGAGGAAAGGGCTGTTTTTTTCAAACAGCCCAGCAAAAGTCTTTGAATTCTACCTCACGTTGTGGTCATGATATCTGGCAATGAGAGGGGCTGACTTCTGAGGTCTGGGTTGATCACCCACAAATGGTATCTGGTCATGTTTGGCGCATACAAGTCTCCAGTTTTAAAAGGAGTAGAGCCCTGCCTTACCTGTGTATGGATCCCGAGCCTGTGGCCAGTCTTGTCTCGTGCTGTTCTAAAAAACATGCCGTTTGGCTGTCAGCACGATCGACTGAGGGTTGGAGCAGCTTGTAGTGCAGGACCACAGGGCACACGGCCCAGGCATCTGGAGATGCAGGACAGGGTAGAAGCATGGCCTGCTTTGGTTGGCATCTCAATAGAGATCACAGGCGTAGGTCGGCTGCTGGCTTCCCAGGCTGCTGCCCTCCTTCAGAGTCACATGTTTGACATTCATTTTTCCACCTGTGAAACGGGGCAGAGGAGACACCCTCACAGACTTTCTGGAGAGAACTACTTGAGCGGGTATGTAAGGAGCACAAAACGTTTTCCCCTTCTAAGAGCTCCTGGCAGGACTGTGGTAAATAATTATGGGTAGTGCCCGGCACAGAGGTCTTGCTTAGAACATGTTCACTGTCACCACTGTGGTCTTCAGACATGATGTCTTAGATGTGTCAGAAAGTGAGTCAGGAAAACTAAGAACTAAGCCTTGGGGAGGTGGCTTAGCAAGGGAGAGGTTTTTGTGTAAGTGTGAGGACCTGAGTTCAAATCTTCAGAATCCACATTAAAGATGAATGTAGCTAGTTGTGCGTGCACCTGCAAACCCATTGCTGTGGGAGGCGGAGGTGGAAAGATCACTGGAGATTGATGGCTCCCAGACGAGCTTCAGGCCTCTTTGATGAGAGTCCCTGACTCCAAAGAATAGAGGCAGGGAGTGGTAGAAGGGAACCCCAGAATTCTCTGGATATTTGTGCATGAATATGCAATGCATTCATGTGCCACTTATGCATACACACACGTGTGCTCACACACACACACACACACACACACACACACACACACACAAAATGAACTCAATCTAAGATTATTATTTCTCAAAACAGTACCACTACCTGAACAAAAGAAAAACAGTAGTTAACAGCAGCATGAGGCTGGGATCTAAAAAGCGGTTGTTTTTTCTGAAGGCTGGTTTTAGAGAGATAGCAATCTTTGGTGTAGGGAGTAAAGGAGTTTGTACTAGTCTGTTTCTCCGTGTGTGCAGGGACAAGCAGTGCCTCTGTCCAGTGTGACTGATGGCATCCCTATGTCGGGGAAGGAATGTCTCTCTCTTCACCAGTATGGCCCCGGGTTATGAAAGCATGGGAAGGAAAGGAGTGGGGGAGGTGGATGGGATGGGGGGCCCTGTCGTTGGAGCCCATTATCTGAGGCTTCCAGAGCTTGCAGTGTTTGTGTTGGGGGCAGGATGTTGGGGGTTGGGAGTTCCAAGCCAGGCTTCTCACCTTGGCTCTACACTGATGTCCCCAGGCTCTTCTGGTTACTCCCAGATACCTTAGCTGTCCCCAGACCATTTCTGTGGGAGCCTCTGGGGGTGGATAGAGAGATCACACTGATGGGGATCTTCAAGAACCCCAGGTGCTCTGCCTGGATGCTAGGTTTGAGAAGTACTGGTTTAGGGGACATGGGTCATTAGTCACCATTTCAAATTATTCCATCGGTTAGTGTCTCTCACACCTGAGCAGGTCTAAGAATTTCCCAGCAATGCGGTTCAAAGTCCACATTCCAGTCACGTTCCCTGAATCTCTGTCCCTTGAAGCTCTGAGACAGGCCCAGGCCTGTGTGTTCCCAGGGCCTTCAGGCATGAAGTTAGTCTGGTTTGAGAAGCTCCTGGGTGGGACTTCAGAGCCTGGCCACAGCCTCCACTGCACTCTGACACTGTCATTTCTACACAGCATCACTGGATCACGTGTTCTCTGACCAAATGGGATGCGGTAGCTCTCCCATCCTTTTCCATGTATTGGCAAGGCATGTTGTTCTTCACTGCCCTGAATAATGGGCTCACAAAAAAAGAAAAGAAATACTTTTAGACTGAAGGTGATTTTGGAGCGCTGTGACTTCTACTTCATGTATGTCAACCACAGGATAAATATCACAGGATAAATAAAGCTGTTTGTATCAGCTTTGGAGTCTAGCCTACCCACCTAGTTTTGAAAACTAGAGTTTATTTATTTATTTTTTATTTATTTATTTATTTATTTATATTTTATTTCATCTTTAAGAGAGGCTCTCATGTAGTCCAGGCTGACCTCGGACTCATGATATTGCCAATGACCTTGGACTTCTGATCCTCCTGCCTCTATCTCCCAAGTGCTGAGACTTCAGGTGTGTGACACCATGCCCAGTTTATGCCATGCTGGGGGCTTGAACTCAGGGCTAGGGAAGACTCTGCTCCTGGTGTGCTTCAGTGGGCAGAGTCAAGTAGTTGACACAGTAACTTGAGACCTATAAAACCTAAAATGTCCATCCACCCAACAAATCCTGAGTACCAGTAGGCACTGGCCTGGTGCTGGAGGTACCCACAGTCAAAACAGGGAGGGTCTGCCTCAAAGAACCCCAGGTTTGCATGCTTTCAGGCATCAGCTGGGGTGGAGTGGGGGTGGGGGAGTGGGAGCATGGGGGTGTGGGGGATGGCGGGACACTGTAAGTGTGGCTGCTCAGAATTGCAACTGCTCATTGTCTGCAGTAGCTGTCCTGCCAAGGGCACATTTGCAGACAACCGGATGAAGCAGCCAGTCTTTCACATGAATTCACTGAGTTTACCTAGATTAATTAAGTTGAAAAATGTTACAGAGTTTTGTGGCCCTAAATGTATGGGTCAGATAATACGTTCCCTGATTTCATTGACTTATTTCTGACCATAGGCATCTGATGGCCTACACTAGGCATGGCTGGAACTAGAGTCCAATGCAGAGCACTTTCTGTTGAGTATGTGACGACATCTTGGGCTGCTTTGGCCCTGAGTGCCAGGTTCTTTCCCTCTTCTCACTAAAAAAAAAAAAATTAAAAAAATCCCAAAGCACAGCAACTATAAATGTGTGCCACTAGGTGGCAGCATAGCCCCATGAGTTAATGCCTGCTGCCAGGTTCCATTTTGCTGTACCTAATTAGCAACATTTATTTAGTGTTTGCTCCTGTGGTGTGTGATGTCAATGCCATATGTCGTTTTCTCCTAGGAAAGCTGGTCTATGAGCGCATCTACTCCATGTGTGCGGACAGCCGAAGCGCTTTACCAGGTAATGCCACCCTTCCCGGATTCTGGGTGCCAATCTGCCCTGAACCACAATTAGAAGATTTATTCAAGTCAGGATTAATTGAAAACTGATGAGCTTTTTAATTTTTGTGTGTTGGAAAGAAACACTTTTGAGGTCTTACTGTCTCAGTCTTCCAAAGCCATCAGAAGGTTTGCAAACAGGCAAGTTATTAGAATGCACAAAATGGAAAGGTGGAAATAAACCCGCTGCACACCAGCTTCTCTTCGGCTGCTGCTCAGCACTGTGCCCCTGTTTCCTATGTGTCTTCCTTTCCAAGAAGCAGATACTTAAATAAAAACTGTATGCACGAAAGTATGTCAGATAAATCAATAGTAGCAGATGCCCTGACTCTGTACACAAACGATGTTGATGTTAAACTTATTGCCTATCAATTTTAAAGTCCCAGGGGGTTCTAATGGGACAGGTGGATGATGGACTTCTGTGACGAAGTGTTCAGATGCAGCATCTTCAGCTGCAGCTTCCTTTCCTTCCCCTCTTTAGCTCCCAAGCTTTGCTGCAAGAAACCTGCCAGTTCCACACCAGCGAAAGCAGCAGCTTGGGCTAGCATCTCACCCCCGTCTCCCAGTTCCTGGCAGTGGTCCTTGCCCGGGGGTCAGGACACAGCAATAGTGACAGTAACTCATAATTTGACCTATACTCTTTCTTCTCTGCTCCATTCTCTCTCTCTCTTTTTTAACCTCCCCTCCCCCACCTTTTCCATCCCTGGCCCTTCTTTTCCATCTGTCTGTCTACCTGTCCATTTACCCAGAAACACAGCTGTACACAGCCTTAGGTCTACATGAGTCCTTAGGAGCTACCTGGTCTCATTGTAGAAGGGCAAGCAGAGCTGGCCTGTACAGTCTGGAGCATTGGTCACCAGCCCCTTGTTGCTCTTGGGGACTTGAGATGTGACTGGCAAACTGAAGTTGAGTTTTGAGTGTAAAAAGAAGTGACACTAGATGGCCCGGTGTGGAGGTACATGCCTGGAATTCAGCATGCGCCATCATCATTCAAGAGAATGAGGCAGAAGGATTGTGAGTTCAAAGTTAGCTTGGACTAAATAGTAATATCCTGTCTCTAAACCCCAAGAGCTGAGGATATAGCTCAGTGGTAGAGTGCTCGCCTAACGTGTGTAAGATGTTATCCTCAGCACTGCAAAAGGGGGAAGAAAGAAATGACCAAGGATACTGGATTAGAAGACTTAATGCAAATAAAGACCATATAAGCCACTGGTAACTTTTAGTCTGGTCCCAGGTGAAGGCAGTTCTCCAGATAATCTGGGCCTCAAAGCAACAGTGGAGTCAGCTGTGCCTCTTTTACCTTCTGTGGCTCAAAAGCATTTCTGTGGCTGGTGCTGCTCCCATGCCTCCCACCCACCCACCCTTCATACTGTAGTCAAGTTTTTAGTGGCACCTTCTGGTATGTTTAGGAGCTTGCAAAGGGGTGCAGAGGCTAGCTCCATGGGAAGATTGTGTGCTGACATACGTGACTCATGAGCATTTCCCTGTGTTGGGCATCAGCATCAAACCTCAGCCAATTGCCAGAATAAACTTGTGTGTTTTCTTTGGCAACAATGGAATTAAAAAGAAAAGAGCTTATATTTCTGCCTACTTACGCGCTTGAAGCCCTTGGAGGCCCAAAGAGGGCATCAGATGCCTGGAGCTGGAGTCCTGGGTGGTTTTGAGCTACCTTGTGTAGGTTCAGGGGTTCTTTGCAGGAGTAGCAAGTGATCTTGACAGTCAAGCCATCTCTCCAGCATGACTAGCAACTTTTAAAATACTTTGTTGGGTGGGGTTTGTAGAGATGGCTCAACCAATCATCAAGAGCACTTACAGAGGACCCAGATTTGTTTCCCAGCACCCACATGGAGTGACTCAAAACTAACTAGATGTAATTATAGTTCCAGGGCATCTGATGCCGACATTGTCTTTTGATCTCCCTCAGATGCATATGCTTGTGCACACACACACACACACACACACACACACACACACAAATAAAATAAATACATTTAATTCTGCTTGCTTGGTGGAGGTGGTAGTGATTGTTTTTTAGAGACAGGGTCTCATGTAGCCCAGGCTTGCCTTAAATGCCCTGTAACAGAGGATGCCTTGAACTTCTGATTCTTCTGCTTTACCTCCCATGTGTTGGGATCGCAGCTATGGCCACTATCTTTCTTTTTATATTGGTTCATACGCTGTCACTTAAAAGCATTGAAAGAAGTCTGGCTAGTGATGGCACCTGTAGTCCTAGCACTCAAGACTGAGGCAGGATATAGGTTAGCCTTGGCTAATTTATCAAGACCTTGTCTTAAACAAATTTGTGTGGCATGCCTGGCCCCCAGGGACATTTGACTTTGTATCTACTGTAATCATTTTCCCAAACAACATCTTAGGTTCAAGTAAGGAAAACTCACTAATTGGCTCTACTCAAACTCAGTGCAGCATCAGAGGGTATTTTCCTTATTCAAGTATATTAGTTAGAAATTTGAACTTGAGTATTTTACTGTAACTGAGAATGACACAGATTAGGGTTTGTTTTGTTTTTATTTTGAGGCAGGTTTTGCTATGTTGCTCAGGCTGGCCCAGGCTTTTGTTCCTTTGCAATTGATTTGCTCATTATTTTTTTCCTTTCTTTTAAAATCTTCACTTGGATGTTTTTTCCAGTTCTGAGAACCCAAAACGGGGAGGACAGACTTTGCCCACAGTTCTTAGAGTCCCAGGGAATGATTCTTAACCAAGATTAGGAAGAAACTTTGAAGTGCCCTCCACAGAATTCTGCCTGAAGAATTGTGCAGGAGGAGAAAGCTGGTGACATTTCCACTCAGTCTTTCCACTTGAATCAAGTCCTCTGACCTGAGGACCTAATTCCTGAGCTCTTTGCCCCTAGGAGTTCTCACTGGTTTCACTCATGTGAGTTTGGAAATTTTCAGCATCTTTTAGAGTTAATGCCAAGTATACACCAAGCCTGGCATGATGGCTAACCCTGTAATCCCAGCACGTGGGAGGATCATGGATTCTGGGATAGTTTGGGCTGCATGATGAGACTCTGCATTTTAAAAAAGAAGAGACAGAAAACACAGAGCGGGGAGAAAAAAGAAAGGAAAAATGAAGAGGAAAAGTGCATGTCACTATGTGTGGTCATTCCCCATGCCCACACATTTCTTTTAAAAGTTTCTTACACTTATTTTTACATTTGTTTGATATGTAGAGTGGAAAGTAAACTGCCATTTAAATATTTTAAAGGCAGGGAGAATCTTGAGCATGGCAGGTAACAGCAGAGACATCTGGAACACAGCAAATAAGAGCAGGCAGAATGAGCAGTTGGAGAACAGCTTTTGGGTGCTAGGAAACATACATACAGCAGGCACACAGAGAACAAGACCCTCGCAAAGCAGAGCGGGCCTCAGGAGGCTGAAGCCCAGCCTCTCCTTTAGGGCTGGGTTTTTTAAGTTCTGGAAGGGTTTTCATCTACTAATTTAGGGCTGGTCAGTTTGAAGAAAGCTGTACAACTGTGTAAACATGTCTCCTGGACCCACAGAACTAGTCCACCAGCAGGGACCCTGCTGGCAGAAGACCTCCAGGGTTTTGTTTTATTATGTTCTCAGGCTTTTGACAGGAGGGTAAGGAAGAAACCTTGGAAACTCACCATCCTTATTACCTAGTCACTGCCCCTCTTCCTGTCTGTCTGCCTGCCTGCATGCCTGCTATGGAGTCTGTCTAAACCTAGTCCCATGTTGTAGCACACATGTGAAGGTTACAGGAGGCAGTTTTCTCCTTCCTCTGTGTAAGTCCCAGGGATTGAACTCAGGTTATCAGGCTTGGCAGCAAGCACCTTTACCTACTGAGCCATCTCACTGTCCCCCTCTCCCTTCTTAATCCAGCATTTGTATAATGAAGCCATTCACTCTGAGTGACCAAGTCATGTTTCCTACATGGGAGACATCCTCACATCTCAGCAACCCCTTCTTCAGATTGTCCCTAGGGCTGATTTGGGCCACACCGGGATCAGCAGGGACCTTGGTTAATGTGGCAATGAAGGAGAACTAGACTAATTGGCCTTGTTCAGAGTCAAAAAATGATGTACTTTAAAAGTTGGGGGGTGGCAACTCTGATCTCTGTTATGTGGAAGGCCCTTCTGGATTAGTTTCCAAACACCGGATTCCTTCCCCATGTTGTAGCTCCAGTGTGAACGTATGAAGTCTGTCATCCCTGCCTCTCTGCCCAGAGCCTTCAGGGCATTGCCATTGCACTTAGGAAAGCCTCTGAGGCTCACTCTGTGCCCTGCCTGGTCTGCTGAAGAGGCTGCCCTGGGCTCATCACAGGGTCTGCTTTCTGGGCTCTGCCTGGTCTCACTCAGGGCCTTTGCATCTGTTATTTCTACTTTCTAGAATGTGTTGCTTTTCTGTTTCTGCATGACGGTTTCCCTTTATGACTCAGAGTGCAGCTCAAATACCACCTGTGCAGAAATCTTCCTTGATCGTTGTGGTCCCCCAGCATGCACATACCTTGTCCATTCTACTGCCCGGTTTCCTGTCTTTCCAGGCTCTGACTACCTGGTATCCTTTGCTTTACCCAGTCCCCGTGTCCTGTTTGTTATTTGTCTTCACCACTGGCAAGCTTCCTGAGGACAGTGTCTGCCCTATGCACTGTTTGAGAACTCAAACACTATTTGTTGTTGGCTTTTACAAGCCTTTCTGTGAGCAAACGAAGTATAGGGATCTATTGTTTAGTACTGTTTAGTTTTCTATGCTGTGTTAAAGTCTTGTGTACCATAGTCTCTTTCTTAATTCTCTCTTGACCTGGAAGTAGTCTGTCACTGTATGAGATTGCTGTCTGTGTGTACCTGTATGTTTTTATGTATATGTGTCTTGTGTATATGTGTATGTTTGTGTGTATGTGTCTCTGTATGTATGTGTATACATGTATGTTTGTGTGTCACTCATATATGTGTGCATGTGCATATTTGTATGTGTGTGTATCTCAATATGTGAGTATATGTATATATGTGTGTGTGTCGCATGTGAATATATGTGTGTCTCTGTATATATGTATATGTTTACATGTATGTATATATTTCTCTATGTTTGTGTCTATGTGTATGTTTGTACCATATGTGTCTGTCTGTTTTTAATTATGTGTTTGTATATGTGTGTGTGTGTGTGTGTGTGTGTATGTGTATCTCTGTATGTGTGTTTTGTAGTTTTGTATGAGCTGTAAGATTTTAACTTTTTCCTTTTGTGTCAGGGTCTTGCTGTGTGGCCTTGAACCCATGGTCCTCCTGTCTTTGCCTCCCCGTCCTTATGAAAATGTATGCCGTGCCCAGAACCCTAGGAAATAAATTTTTGTTGTTAATAACAAAGACTATATATTAAGATTAGGATTGGCTGCAGAGCCAGAATTCAAAATACTGCCAAGGAAGGTAAAGGCTGACAGGCACCTGGTGACAATGCCAGGGACCCAATTATGGCTGTGGTAATACCACCTTGGGTCAGAGTTACCACAGCCATACCCGCTTTTGCGTCTGTTGTGCAGTCAGGCTGGTGAGAACAGGTGAGCACAAGTCCCTCCTCTTAAGATGTTTTATTTATATTTTGGATCCCAAACTCAGTCATATGATCATACCTAGCTGCATGAGTGGCTGAGCGACCAGCTTGGAAAACAGATATATTATTAAAGACAAAAAGAGTAGGTACTGGAACATGCTGGCAGTGTGACCACAGGAGACCAGAGTGTTGAAGCCATATTGAGCTGGCAGTTTGGCTCTGGCCTTGACTTACCCTCACGTCTGGCTTGTAATGTTCAAGGTAAAAAAAAAGAAAAAAAAAAAAAAAAAAAAAAAGCAATGTTCACATTTCCCCTTATGCGACGAGGTGATAGATGCATCCATGATTCTTCAACTTTTGCCACAGTGACTGCTCTGCACATCAAGGCCCTCTGGTTCATCAATGTGTAGTGGCTAAGAATAAGGAGCCACACTGCCCGAGCTTATATTCATGCTCTAATTGGCTTGCCATGTGTCCTGGGCAAGTCACTGAAATTCTCTGTGCCTCCGACTCTTGAAGTAGATGGAGATCTACTGTGTGAATAAATGAGCTAGCTAATGTTGTTTCAAACTGAAGCACAATGCACGATGCCTGGCTCTTCCAATGCACTGGTGTCATTTCTGTCACTTTTTCCTAGTAAAGATGAGGAGGGACTTTACCTCCTCATTTTCTGCCCCTGAACTTGCAGCAAACTATATAGATCCAGGAACAGGACAACTGTGGTGGCCCACACCTTTCATCCCAGTGCTTAGAGACAGGCAGATTTCTGTGAGTTCCAAGCCAGCCAGGTGACGTCAACAAAACAAAACAAAACAAAACAAAACAAAACAAAACAGGGGTTTTTGGGAACCAACACAGATGGTTTTGCGTTGCAGATCACTTTTCCCCAGAGAACGTGAACGACACAGCCAAGGAAACATGCCTGAATTGGTTTTTCAAGATCGCTTCCATCCGGGAACTCATTCCAAGATTGTATCCTTTTCTTGTCCTGTTTTAATGACAGGTGGGAAGAGTGGTGCTGGTATCAGCAGCCATGGGATGGGCTGCCCAGAAGTTCCTGCACACCAGCCACACACCTGCTCAGTAGCTACACACTGGAGAGGGCTTTGTTTGGAATCCCACTTAGTCCTGATCGTTTTTTCTTGTTTGTTACTTTGAATACTATGCATGAATCAGGCTTTTGTTCTTTTGAGGAACATTTTCACGTTTTAACTCCATTAAGAAGCTCATTAAAAAAAAAAAAAAGGTTTATTTTGTTTTTAGCTATGTGACCTGTGTGTTTATATAGTCTTGCAGGTCAGAAGCATTGGATCCCTTGGAGCTGAGTGTACAGGTGGTTGTGAGTCACCCTGATGGTGCTGGGAACCAAATTCAGGACCTCGGGCTTGGTGACAACCTGATGGGCCATCTTGAGGGGTCCAGGTCCTGTACCAGTTCCCCAGGATTAAAGCATGGAGACATTGACCTACACACACTGTATCTCAGGTCCATGCTCCCCACAGGCTTTGATTGGAAGGCTTCAAACTCATCTTAAATTTAATCACCAACGGGCAAGGTTTCCCAAAACTTAAATAAGTACAGGGCTTGGAGAGCCCTGTGGAGAATATGGCAGCCGCTGACTCAGTTCTCTTCATTGTCAGGGCCATGATGGCCTCCTTGTGCCTTGTACTTGTTTTCCTTCTGGCATAGTCTTTGTCTGGCAGGGAACGGGCCATCTAGAACATGTCTTCCTTAACAGAACATTTCTGTAGTTACGTGGAAGCATCCATCCTGAAGTGTAACAAATTCCTCTCCAAAACGTAAGACCCTCCTTCATCTGGAGCTGTGGAATTTCTGTTCAAAGACCCAAGCACACAATAGCTGTGTGACTGTAGCTATTGTCATTGAGTTTGTAGTATGTGGCCTGATGTTGATTACCTGTGTATTTCCCCACTTACCATGTGGAGACTTAATGAAGTGGAGATGGCATTTTCATCCCTATATAATGAACAGAGAGGAAGAGTTGAGTGTAGGGTGGGGCAGTGTGTAGTTCCCTGGAGGTCAATTCCATTTGGGTCTGGCCATGGGTCTCTAGTTAAAGTTATTTACACCCTGAGCCTCAATCCCCTTTGCTGGACCTGTGAGAAGTATGTGGGCCCTGAACTGTTCACATGGCACTGGGAGGCACACAGGCAGACCTGGCCTGTACCATGTTACGTGGGCTGCCACTGATGGTGATGATGATGGTAAAGATGATGTTGGGAGCAGGAGCCTTTGCTCCTGGGCCCAGGCAACGATTCCTCACAAATTGATTCTGAGAGCTTGAGGAAGCCAGTGGTCATGCCTGGCTCCTAAGGACAGCCAGGGACCTCCCACAGGGAACTATTTAATTTGGAGCTAGGGGTGACTGGGATGGTTTATGGGTGCTGAAGAAATAATTATTTTTGCCTCCCCATTTGGGTGAGGATCATGTCCAAGAGGGAAGACCCATGTCAAAGAAATGAATCTTAGGTCACATTGATGGAGTTTGTGGTGGCTGTTTGTTGCCAGCCGGAGGTGGTGGTAAGAAGGGATGGAACATAGGACACTGAACCGGGACCAAACAGTAATCTATATAGATCCATATAAAACAATGGTTCTCAACTTTCCTAAGGTTGCAACCCTTTAATACAGTTCCTCATGTTGTGGTGACCTCCAACCATAAAATTTTTGTTGCTACTATGTAACTGTAATTTTGCTACTATCATGAATCATAATGTAACTATCTGTTATGTAGTATATCTGATATGTGACCTCTGTGAAAGGGTCATTTGACCCCCAAAGGGGTGGTAACCCTCAGGTTGAGAACCAATGGTATAAAAGATCAGTGGGCTGGCAGCTGACAGAAAGCCAGGTGTGGGATAAAACTGTCAAAACTAGTAAACTTGGGGCTGGGTAGGTAGCACACAGCTGCAGTCCCACCACTAGGGCAGGAGAATTGAGAGTTTGATGCCAGTCTCAAACACACCAATATAAATAAATTCACATTAAGTCTGACCTCAGACAGGGATGCATGTGGGGAAGCATCAGTAATTGTATCCACAGAGAAAACTGGCCATACTGCCTTGACAAACTGAAACTTTGACCTTGATTTATTCTTACAAGTTGTGTTTTTCTCCCCTAAACTTAGGAAAATGTAGCTTTATCATGAAAGTGAACGCTCCCGTGGGATGTAACTCTGCCCTCCTCTCTCCCACAGAGGCATTTCAGAGTGCCTGCCCCGACTGACCTGCATGATCAGAGGGATTGGGGACCCGCTCGTGTCCGTGTACGCCCGGGCCTACCTGTGCCGGGTATGCTGAGCTCTCAGACATGGCCCCCTGCCTCCTTATCAGCCTCCTTCTCCACCTCCCTCTGCTCTGTTAGCTGCTGCTTGTAGGACACAGTCCTCACAGAGAGGATAGCTGCACGATTGCTTGTAAAGAGTTAATTTTGAAATAGACCAACTTACTACAGTTCTAATTAGGGGACATTTAAGGTCATCTTCACCCAAATGAACTGGTTTTCTGGATTAATTTTCTCAGTCCAGCTGGGAAAGAGGCTCTAGGTTCCTTTTCAGTCACTGGAGACTGACTTTTTCTTGTGTTGAATCCTCTGGGTTTATTTGGTGTGTGTGTGTGTGTGTGTGTGTGTGTGTGTGACTCTGCCTCCCTTTGTTAAACAGTTGGGCTGGGTGTGAGCTGCCACAGGCCTAGGAGGGAGCATTGTCCCTGTGAGCTGACACAGGGGTTTGGGACTCTGTGATAGATGGTTGGGAGATGATTGGGGCCCTCTGAGCCTCTCTCTGAAGTAACACAGCTCAGTGCTTTTACCTCACCCACTGTCAGAATCTGCCTCTGACAGATTCAACCCATGGAGCCATTTTTCTCAGCCCCATGGGGGCTCTGCTCTAACAGGGTCTTCTGCTCTTGCCTTATCAGCCTCGTGCACTGCTGGGGAGGGATTCCGGTAAGTCATAGGCACCCTGGAGGACACCATCACAGTTAGAGCCATGTGCAGGGTCTGTGGTGCTTGTTAGGAGTAGGCCAGGGCCTTTGATTGATGCCTTGTGAGTGAGGACAGCTCTGTGGCCAAGTGTCACCAGAACACTTGTTACTGCTTGGAGTCAAGAGCAGACAGCCACCATGAAGGGCACTTTTCTAGGGAAGAGAAAGCCACTCATCAGAGCACACCTGCTCCTCCTCTGTAATGGGTGAGATGTGGTGTGGTTTTTCTGTTTGAAATTTGAGGTGGGTTTTAAACCCAGAAACACCAGAGCCTAAGTTAACGCATCTAGTAAAGCTTGACTCATTCCTTATCAGAGTTTGATGATGGCTTCCTGTACCAAAAACATTGTCATTTCCTATATGCAAAACACCCTGTCCTCTAGGAGTTACCCAAAGAATCCTTGTTTGCATACTCCATTGCCTTTTACCTTATTAGTTAGGGCACATTCTTTCCATTTAATTGGCTCCTATTGGAAAATAGACTCAGAATCATACTCCGGATGATGCTTCTACTTATTAAAGAGAAGCTAAAAGAGAAAGACATGTTCCTTATGAACCACAGGTCTGAAGCTTGGTACATGAGCAGGGAAAAAGATAGTGCTCCTTGCAGGTAAAGCATGGTGGTGAGGATGAGATGCTAAGGATGAGGAAGAGACTGAGAGTGCGTGTTGGTGATGTGTCGTTCCCCCCCCCCCCCAACTAAGTGTTTTGACAGAGAATTAGGAAGAGTTAAGAGGGTTGATATGGTAGAGTGCAACAGGTAAAGGTCCTAGGTTCAACCCGAGGGGGGGGTGTGGCGCACGTTGTTAAGATGTTTTCCATTGTAAGTACAGAAACCTACTTCAGACTTTGGCTTGTGTGGTGGTTAATCTTGATTGATTGGAATGAGAGATGTCTAGGGAACTTGTGAAGCAGACATCTGAGTGTGTCAATGAATGTGTTTCCAGAGACAGGTTATCAGGGCTCTGACCTGGGCGTGGGTTAGTCATTGATGGATGCATACTATGATGGTGGTACTGGGAGATGGCGAAGCAAAGGCAAGGCTTGTTGGAAGTTAAGTCAGAGGGTGTGCATTTGGGAGCTTGTCTTGTTCTGGTTCCCTCCTGTTCCTCACTCCTCACCCTCCCCTGCCTTTCACGATGGGAGAATCTCCCTCCACCACACACTCCTACTGCTGAGATATTTTGTTCTTACAGATGGGAGGATCGAGTGACCCTGGACTGAACATTCTGAAACTGAGCAAAGACAATCCTTTCATCTCTGAAGTTGTCTTCCCAGGTGTTGAGAGAAGACTGATAGAAACCGAGCCTGAAGATGCAGAGTACTTCAGGCTTGGCTAGGTCTAGGTCTGCAAAGTTGGGCATTTGCTTAAGTTAGGTTGGCTTCCTTCTGTGTTTGCTCTTTATATATGACAGACCACAGCAGCTTCCAGCTCCCACATACCACCTTTAGAAACCGTTTTAAAGTGATTTATAAAGCCCCATTTCCCAAGTAGATCCTGCTAGTCTCAAAGACAATTCTTTAGACACTACCTTGGGTCACTCACCCATCCATGGCATGGAGTTTGCCTAACTGATTGGGCTTTGGGCATGGGCTCACTTCTGGAACTCAGCGCCATGGAACTACAGTTAGGAAGAATCATTGGTGAATACAACCCAAGGTGCTGATACACAGAAGGAATGAGCAGCAGGGAGAAAGCCATTAGCAGCTCCCGGGCTACCTCAGCGGGAATGGGGTGGGGCAGAGCAGGATGGCAGCTCCAGGAACCAGGCAGACTTCCAAGCTGCTGCTTTGGCTTGATGAAAAGAGATAAAAAAGGAACAAAAGAAGCAGGTGGGTGAGAATGTTTACTGGGGGAGAGGTTGAGTAGCCCCTCCTGCAGCTGTGGCCCCTGCAGCTGCTCTCCACTGCCTGCCCCCTGGGCAGTCCTCCCTGTTATCTAATGTACTTACTATGTGGAAGGGAAGATACCAGACTCAGAACCTGTGGAGCTGGTTGTTAGCTAGGTGGCTGTCCTTGGAAATACCCTTGTGGCCTTCCAGCTGTTCTGGAAATTTAACCCTCCAGTGAGTCTCACACGCTTCTGCCCAAACAGTGGTTGATACCCTTAGAACAGTGTCCTCTTGGTAACCACTGACCTGGTGACTGGGAGAACTCTGTTCTTGCTGGAGGAGCCCAGACAGCAGCTTCCTGTAGTAAGTCTTGTCTTTGGTTGGACTGAGGCCAAACTGGGAGCTTGGCGTAGGAAATAAGATATTCAAATACTTGGTCCCAGGTGTGATGCATACCTTCACATACCTCCAACCCCTGTGCTCTGATTGCCAACAAGGGAGTTGGGTCCTCTCTCTTCCTCTCTCTCTCTCTCTCTCTCTCTCCCTTCCTCTCCCTCTCTCTTTTAGAAAAATCTAAATTTTTTTCTATTGTATTCAAAAAGCACTCTTTCTTTTCTCCCTTAGGCACCTTGCTTCAAGCTTAAAACAAAGGCTGTTTTTAAAAACTGAATTCTGAAGCCAATAAATGATGGCTTTTTTTTTTTTCCTTTGAGGTAGTATCTCACTATCTTCCTGTGTAGATCAGGCAGCCCTCCCAAGGGCTGGGATTAAAAATATATACCATCATGCTTGACCTGGATGATGGCTTTAAATAAAATAAATACTCTTATGTTCACTTTGTGTGGTGGTGGTGGGTGCCATGGAGTCAGTCTTCTCTCTACCATTTGGGTTCCAGGTTTGTACTCAGAATGTTAGTTTCGGCAGCAGGTGCCTTTACCTGCTGGACCATCTCACTGGACAAGTGATGACATTTATTTGCTTTGTGCTTGCCGTGTTAAAACTGTGGAAGACACATTTAAAATTGTCTCTTTTTCTATGATCGTCTAGTAAGGAATGCATTGCTATTAGTGATGATGTAGAAACTGAGTGTCAGCATTGATATAGAAGCTGAGTGTCGGCAATAATGTAGAAGCTGAGTGTCTTATACCCTAAGCTTTGGGGAGTTAAGGAGGATGCTGGAGTTGAACCCAGGGTCTTGTGTGTGCTAAGCATGTGGACCACCACCATGACCAACTCCTTGCCTCTATCCTAATCTTGCATCATCTACTAAGCATATCCATGAGTGTTGATCATCTTGTTTGTTGGAAGAGAAGATTGTTTTCCTCATCTTGAGAACATGGCCTTTGTACTGTATTGATTTGTTCTCTGGTGGTTTCTTTAGAAATACATTCATTGCCCTGAGGGAATTCAAAGATGATCACGAATGTCATTTTTTCATTAAAAATAGCTTTTGTGGTTTTTCTTATAAAATTAATACATGCTTATTGAGCGGGAAAACAGATAAGCAGAATGATGTAGGGTTTTCTTCTAAGTGTGTGTGTGTACGTGTACGTGTGTGTCTGTGTGTGTGCATGTGTGATGTGGTACTGGGAATTGAACACTAGGGCCCTATACACGTTAGGCAAACACTTTACCACTGAGCTATGTCCTAGCTCCTTTGTTTTCTGTTTTCAACATGGTGCTTTAGCCAGGTGTGTGGCGTACATTTGTACTCTCAGCACTTGAGAGACTGAGGCAGGAGGATTGTTGAATGCAAGGCCAGTCAGGGCAGAGTGAGACCCTGGCTTGGAAATAAGAAAAGCAGCATAAGGTACACCCTCTTATTTGCCCCTGGCTTTTTGCTATTAAGATGATTTCACTTTGGTTGGTTGCAGGTGGGGATGGAAGTGGCCCCGCACCTCAAGGAAAGCCTCAATAAGAACTTCTTTGACTTCCTGCTTACATTTAAACAGGTAGGAGAGCACCACAATAGCAGCTCATTGAACTGTGGTGGGAGCAAATTTACAAGACCCAGTGGGCTCACCAAGCTGAGGACCCTTGTCCTGGACTAGATGTGCAGAATGTCATGAGTGTCTTCAGGGGCCTATACCCCATGTTGGATGGAGGGAGATTTAACACACTTATATGAACAGAAAATGCCTAGTTCTCAGCATCTGCTAATCCATTTTCATTGGGTTACTTCTGCCTGTACAACCCTCCTCCAGAACTTCCCAGTTGGATGGCATGGGAAACTTGCTGTGTGTTTTGTTTTTAAGTATAGCCCGAGGCAGCAGGCTGTTACCATTGCACCCATTCGTGCACTTCCAAGACAGCCTGGTTTGTGTGATGTGACTCCTCTCCTTTCTGATGTCCCTTTGGTCTCCTGTAGATTCACGGAGACACTGTCCAGAATCAGCTGGTGGCCCAGGGTGTGGAGCTGTTGTCCTATCTCCCTCTGTACTCGCCTGCCATGGGTTGGATCTTCCAGTGTGTCTCCTACCATGCCCCTGAGGTAAGGCCAGTGGGGATCATCCCTGGGGAGCAGGACTGACTCCCTTTCTCTGTGGTGTGACACTCTGCTGTCTGTGCCAGCTGCCTTTATGCCTCCATGGATGGTTCTATGCCTTTCTAGATTGTGTCATTTCCTGACACTGGGAAGAGAGGAGCCACTCAGAGCTACATTCATTCTTATGACTGCAGAGTGGTGGGTGGCCAGAGGGAAACCCTTGAAATCCTCCTCAACTCTTCATTTACCTTCCTCTTCCCCATTTGTGTTTATCACCGTTTGGTGAGGCCTGCATGGCAGGTGGCATTGTCCTATTTCATGTAAGGGCAAGTATAGCTTTCCTTATTGCTTACATAATGCCTTTTCCTTTCCCGCCCCCTCCCCCCTTCTCTTCTGGGTGATATACTCTCAGGAATTAACCTTGTAACAGAAATAGGACTTTTTTTCTTGGTGATTCCCAGCGCATGCTGATGTGACTGTGATAGATGAAGTTTCCCTGGCCGCCTTCTTGGTGGTTGAGAGGATAAGGCAGCTTGCTGTAGTGTGAGGCAAGCAGTTGAGAGGCAGGGGTCTGTTTCCCAGCTACAGCCAACAAAAAGAACAGGTATCTGACTGAGGGACACCATTGTCAGGGCTCGGTCCTGGGGAAATAAGCCATGAGTATCTAACATGACCACATACCTTCATGTGGCTGTAATGATGCAAATTTGGAGGTAGCTAACGGCTCCACTTGAATTCTTGTGGGTGTGTTCACTGGAAGGCTGCAGAATTATTAGAAAGATTGGACTTCATGGGTGTCTGTTTGTCCTGGCATAAAGCTCTACACAGTATATAGCTATGCAGAAGCAGTAGCTCTACTCATTGCTATGTTGGGGGTCAGCCATGGAGTAACTTTGTGCTGGAGTAAGGGCTTTGGTGTTGGACTAATTGGGTCTGCCCTCAGCTCTGTGACCATGTCACGGAACAGTGGATGCCTGTTGACTTGCCCCTAGTCAGAGAGCATTGTCTTTTATCTGTGACAATTCCTATTCACTAAACCAGGACAGTACCTTTACTGTGCAGAGTGGGTGTCCCACATATAGTCCTACGTTCAGTGGGGGGTCTTTGTGGCCCAGGCATACCTGGAACTTAGTATTCTCCTGCCTCAGTCTCCCGAGTACTAGGATTACAGTGTGTGCCATCACACCTGGACAGTTTTGTGACTGTCTTTACTGGATTCCCTTTGCCCTGTGTGTGGTTTTACTTTTTGGAATCTAAAGTATGGGGAACGGGGAGCACAGACTTCTCCTGTTTTAGGTAGAAATTGTTTTAATCATTTTGTAAGCTGGTTTCATGTCAGACTCATCTCAAGAGAAGGTAATTTGAAGAGCCTCTGGGTGTTGCGTGGTCTTTAGCAACCACATGTGGTCCCCTCCTGGGGGAAAATGTGCCACAAACTTAATGGTGGAAACAGAACCTCTCCCTCAGCCTTCCTCTGAATGATTCAAACACTCCTACAAGAAGGATTAGTGTGTTGAAAACGAGAACACCTTTTTTTCCCCCCTTACATTAATGAAAGACAAGATCAGATGAAAAAATGCAGGGTGGGTGTCCCAAGATGCCCTTGTGTTTATTTGAGTCTCAGAGGAGTCAGGCTGGGAATAGAACCTTCTGGGGATAGTACTGCTCTAGGAAATCATCATGCAGTAGGAGAAGCAACTAAAAAATTAGGTCACCTGAATAATGATAAACTGTTCTTGGGGCACTTAGATGAGGGACTTGCAGTATCTTGTTAAAAAAAGGGAAGTTAATCATTTTCGAGCAGTAGACGAAATGGTGTCAGTATGGAAGGTGCAGTTGAAGGGACATGTGTCAGTGTGTACTAAAAGCTCTTGGATAGCTGCAGTGAGGCAAGGGGAGGTCAGAGCAGTGTGTCTCTAGCCAATCCTCCAATCGAGTGTTGTAAAGTCTGTCCCAGCAGTTGGTGTGTCTGGCTCAGGCAGGTACGAGGGAAGGGAGAGATGTTAGCTGTGAGTATTTGATATATGAAGTTGCAAATTGTAATTGAAATGTACAGCCAGATGTGCAGTGGCAGGCCTGTAATCCTAGCATTTGGGAAGTGAGGCAGGAAGATCCTAAGTTTGAGATTGACCTGGCCTACATTACATAGGAGGTCCTTGTCTCAATAATAATAATAATAATAATAATAATAATAATAATAGAAATTAAAATCTAGAAAGGACGATTATTCAGAAGGGTTTTCCTGTTATGGTTTGAAGGTGGGAGTTTTCTTCCTTTCACAGCTAAAATGGGATTGTAGTTAAGTAAAAGATGGCCACTTCATTTCAAGCACACCATGCTCAGAAAAGGGTAGCCATTATACACAGCTTACTGTGGGTGATGGGAATAAAAGCCTGGAGAAACTATGTGTTGCTGATTGCTTGAAGGAGGGAGTTGGAGGAGGAGGCCTGGCCCCAACTTCATTGGTGATTCTCACAGAGTCACTTGGTCCGTGGCTGAGCTGCACAATACAGCTTATAGATGGTGAAGGGGAAAGGAAAGCACAGATCAGGCCTGTCCCTGGCAGGTGGATAGTGGGTCTTTTGTGCCTTAGACTACTGATTTCCATGTACCTCAGTTTTGGCATCTGCAAAATAGATCTAATAAACCGTTCTCTAAGAGCTGTGGCTTTGGGACCATGATGTGGGTGGTCCAGGCAGGCCTTGTAGAAAACCTGAGCTTGCTTGAAGACCAAGTGGCAGCAGGGAGGGGGCATTAGGTAGGCTACATGTATGGTAAGGGTCCAACAGGACTTGAGAAGAGGAAAAAATCTGGTTAGCTGGAGTATCCTGGAGTGCCCAGGGTTCCACCAGGTTCATCTGCAAAGGTGGCTGAGGTCACCATTCTGAGAACAGGGAACCATGGAGGGGCTTTGAAAGGGAAAATGGTCTGAAGAGAGGGATTCTCTGAGGAATGGCAGATGACAGATGGCATGTTGAGTCAGGGAGGGGAGAATCGTTGGTAGCTGTGCAAAGACAGGAGGGATGGATAAATGTGTTAGTAAACATCCAGAATCCTTAGAGAACATTTAAAAAAGTTGAAAGAAAAATAGCCACCTAAAATCTTGGCATCTATAAATTGTCAATGTTATATCTTGAGTGCTCTCTCTCTCTCTCTCTCTCTCTCTCTCTCTCTCTCTCTCTGTGTGTGTGTGTGTGTGTGTGTGTGTGTGTGTGTGTGTGATCTTTTCCAGTAGGTGTATCACTTTTTTTGTTTAATTTCTGAAGCCTTTCCCTCCCAGGCCATCAGTCATATCTGGAGCTGTGTAGAAGGCTGTGTGACCTTGTGGAGTAGGGAGCTGAGGCATAGACAAAGTGAAGCCTTGGAGTCCATCACACAGGGCTTGTTAGTTGAGGCCCACCCTGCACCATCTCTGTGATTGCTCTGCTAGAATTATCCAAATTCTTCTGAGTGTTCTTAATCATCCTGGTTTTACAGTTGAGGCAGCTATGGCTTAGAACATCTTAAATGTCACACAGATAGAAAGGGTCAGGGTGTATGGTGCTGACTCTAAAAGCAGCAAATGTCTTTCAGCTTGTCCCTTCTGGATATCTCCTGCTAACCATTGCACCTGAGGTGGGACTTAAGTCCCTGATAGACTGACACACAGAACTGTTTACTACAGCATGCTTATTGGAAACTACTCCTTAAACATTGTAAAACATGGGGCAGGCAGGGTGACATATCACCTCACCTTTGAGGCCTGCCAGGGCTATGTTGTGAATCTGAGGTTGAGGCTAGCCTAGGTTACATAACAAGACCCTATTTCAAAAATGGGTAAGTACAGGACCAGTGAGATGGGCTCAGTGGATAAAGACACCTAAGTTCCTCCCACAGAGCCCACATAAAAGTGAAAGGAGAGAACCACATCTTTGAAGTTGTCCTCCAGTCTCCACACATGCCCGGTAGCCTGTGTATGCACATATTCACAATAATAATAATAATAATAGATAATGATAACATGAAGGTGGAGCGATGGCTTAGCAGGTGAGAGCACTTGCTATGTAAACATAAGGACCCAAGTTCAAATATCTAGTGCCATGGAAAAACCTGCCTGCACGTCCCCCTGTAACTAGTACTGTTGAGGGTACAGAGAACGATGGTGGAGGTTCATTGCTCACTAGACTAGCTCCAGGTTCAGTGAGAGACCCTGTCTGAGAGGAACAAAGCAAAGAGTGAGAGCAACCAATGTCGTCTTCCAGCCTGAGCATGCGCATGAATCTGCACACATGCCACACACACCCTCTTTATAGGCACACAAATGCAAGATGAGGCTAATATCGCAAACTAATATCTAAGCTTCTGCACACAGGTATGTTCTGTCTGCTTATCAGAAAAAAATATTCCAGTGAAGAGAAGTAATAGAAATAATGGAAGAAAAACTTTTTATATATCCATCAGTTAGGGTCAGTTTGAAAACTGTCTGCCTGTGGTGTGATTGCTCAGCCATTAAAATGATGGGAGTGTGTGTTTGTGTGTGTGTGTGTGTGTGTAAGTGTAAGTATGTAAGATTGGCACTCGGGAAGGTATGAGTCCCGTGTGTCACCCTCTTTGCCTACTCCCTTATGCCCTAGACATATGGTCCATGTGTTGTCCCTTCCGTAGGTTTTGAATGAGCATTTGTATGCTGTGAAGTATAGCCATTGTATAGAATTTCCCTTTCCCAGCTTTTTTGAGGTAGCACTTGGTGTTAGTTGTCAAGAGTGACTCATCAAGTGTGTCTCGATTGCCATTGTGACAATATCTTAGTGGCAGCAGGGATGCTTCTGTCTGTAAGGAACAGACAGTTGACAAGCCTGGATGACAAATATAGTTTAGTATGTCCTTCAATAGCAAGGCATTCTGGGCCAGTCAGCTTCCATCTGTCTTTCTGTTCTTCTACAGCCCCCTACTAGGAGCGAAGTGTCTGCAGCCACTCCAACCCTTATGTCATAGTTCAATTTTTTTTTTTTTCCCAAAGCCCTTAGAAGACTTCCTAACCTGTCTCAGCAGCTAGAGATGAGTCACATGGCCAAAGTTAAACTCACAAGGAAAAACAGAGTGAGGTTGCAATGCTTTGGTTGAATATTTGTTAGGCAGCTCAGGCCCTCTGGAGGAGTGGGAGGAGAGCACAGTCTGTCTCACAGCTCTGGAGGCTTGAAGGCCAAGGTCAAGGTGCTGGCAGAGCTGGACTCTGGTGAGGCCTCCCTCCTCCATGAGCAGATGCTGCCTCCTCCTGTGTCCCTTTCTTTGTGCACACATCTCTCTGCTCTCTACCTCCTTCATAAGGACGATAACCCTTTTGGATGGGGTCCCATGCTAATGACCTCACTTAACCTTAGTACTTCCTCAAAGGCCTTGCATACTGTCTCACTGGAATTTAGGGTTTCTACATGTTAATGGGGGGGGGGCATGATATAAAAGGATCCAATTTGATATGGACAGAGTCCAGAATCTGAAAAAGGGAGCCTAAAATTCACTGCCAATTATTTTGACTTCAGGGTCAGATTTAGACACAGACCTTGTTTCCACTCCTTATGAGGAAGCACTGGTCTTGTCTGACTTAGCCCATGTGTACAGGGGAATCTGCACAGGCTTCCAGCCCTGTGACAAAGCATGAAGAAGAAAGGACAGTTATTCAGACACCTGGTCAAGTGCTCAATGTCTAGGCTACTGGCATTAGCCCTTCTGTCTTAGTCTTGACCTTGTCTGTAACTATACAAAACCTCCCAAACCACTGCCCTAAAGGCTACATCATGCATTGATTTTTCAAAACAAAACAAAAAACCCAGGAGCTCTTTTGAAGATACGTCATTGCCTTAAGATAGCTCCAAAGCCATTAGTAATGCACAGGAGTATACCGGTCTACTTCGGGGGAAGGACATGCTTGGAACTTAGGAAAGGACATGTGGCAAGGAATGCAGTCTTTGGTGCTGGCACATTGGGGTCATTGCTGACCCTGGTTGCTGGCTGTGTGACCCTGGCTAAATCTGTTGCAGTGCCGTTGCTCAGCTTCCTGTCACTGAAATAGGAGAATGGTAATGCACCTGGGTGGGAGAGGTGAGACCATGAGAGTGAGCTCTTCTGTGATTAGTGGGCACTGAGCCGTGGCCTGGCATGTGTTGATTGCTTTTTGACTGCATTATTGAGCAAGCCACAGGCCCTTTGACAAACAAGCAAGAGTGCCATAGAAACCTAACAACTTTTCCTCCTTGTTCATGCCCAGGAGCCAGAGGTTCATCATTCTGTGGTGACACTGTGGGTAGGATGTTGCTACCCATGCCTGACTCAGTATCTCTCCATCAGTGGCTGGAGAGACTGGACCTGACCCTCGACTCATCTGATGCCCCAGCTCGTTGGCTTTGGTTTTTTGAGACAGGATTTCTCTGTGTAGCCCTCTGTCCTAGAACTCACTCTGGAGACCAGGCTGGCCTCGAACTCACAGAGATCCACCTGTTGGGATTAAAGGCATTTGCCACCACTTGTTTTACTTTCTCATGCTTCCCATCCTTGAGGACAATGGGAATTGGCATTATGTAAATCAGCTGCTATTTAGAGTACAACATTTTGAAGGTCTCTTAGAGATGTTGTTTTGTATCCTTCAAGCTGATGTTCTTCCTCTTAAACTTCTAGGCTTTGCTGATGGAGATGATGGAGAGATGTAAGAAACTCGGCAACAAGTAAGTGCTTATTATAAGACTCATATAAGCAGCTGCCTGGAATTGAGGTCAATAGCTGTGTGTGTGTGTGTGTGTGTGTGTGTGTCCAAGCACAAAGGCTAGAGGGCAGTGTTAGTTATCTCTCTCTATAGCACTCCACCTTATCTTTTAAGACAGGGTCTCTTGTGTACCTGGAGCTCACTGATTCAGTTAGATTGGCTGGCCAGCAAGCTCTAGGTTTCTTTCTGTCCCTGCCTGTCCTATAGCAGGGTTATAGGTGTTCACTACCACAACCAGGTCATTATATGGGTGCTGGAAATTTGAATTCAGGCCCTCACATTTATTCAGAATGCACTTTATCAACCAAGCTCTCTCCTCAGCCATCACATGCTTTTATTTAGTTTTTTGAGCTTCCACCCTTAACATGGGTGAGAAGCAGAAGGGTTAGACTGTAGAGGTTCAGAACAGAGCATTGAAATTGCCCTGTCTCAGACCTCAGCTCCATTCTAACTTAGCTTTGTGACCTTGGGCCACTAACCTGACTGCCCTATATCTCAGTCTTCTCTCTCTGCAAAATGAGGGTGATACTAATAAGTCTTTTCTTTATGGGGCTGTGGTAAGTGGTAGGACCAGGAAGCACTCAGTTCCCTGCCGCCTGCCTATGAGGTTCCCTTTACAACTTTTTTGGTAGCAGATAAGTATACATCCTTGAGTGGGTTTTGTTTTTCCTCAGGTGCCTAAAATTTAAGGTCTCTTTCATGAGAAATTCTTCAAATAAAAGATACATGTTTATAACAAGGACCATGTTGTTCTTGAACATTCAATTTTGTTAGTACATCAGCCTATAAAGACCCGGGCCTACTTAAGGGGTTGGACTGTAGCTGAGTTTTCTGTCCATCCATCTAGTTCATTCACATGCTGTCAGGGGTCAGATATGCAGTGAGTCCTCTAGGGAATGCATGTTTTCATTTTTTTTTCCTCTTTCTAACTTTTCCATTAAAAGCTGTCAATCATCCTTCTTGGTAGTCAGTATATACCCTAGCATTAAATCTGGCTTGCAAGCCAGGTATAGTAACAGTTATTCATAATCACAGAATTTGAGGAGTGGAGATGGGGAGGGTTATAAGTTCAATGTCAGCCTAGTCTACATAAAAAGACTTGCTGTCAGTTTGCAAACAAAAGTAAATAGACAGATAAATAAACAAAGGACTTGTATCCTGAGGAAGCTGTGAGTGACTTGGCATCTATGTCTTCCAGTGCTTTGCTCTTGAACTCCGTGATGTCAGCTTTCAGGGCTGAGTTCATTGCCACCAGGTCTATGGACTTCATTGGCATGATTAAAGAGTGCGATGAGTCTGGCTTCCCCAAGGTAGGCTCTTGACTTACTGTGTGTTGGGAGAAGAGACGATGATGTCTAACTGATTGCTTTGGTGGCTAGAGTAAGGTGTGGGGGCAGTGTGGGCCTAAAGGAGACAGGAGAAGGCTTTGTTCCCAAAGGATGTGATAGAAGGTGGCTGAGATTGGGATCATTAATGCCACATAACTGCTATGTGTCAGGCCTTGAATGCTGACCCCATGCATGGATTCACTATGGAGTATTTAGGAAAGACATGGTCACACATATTTAAATTATATTTGCTTTTGGGCTATGGAGGTGGCTCAGTCATTAAAGCACTTGTACAAGCATGAGGACCTGAATTTGATGTCCCTATAAAAAGCCAGGAATGGTAGCATGTGCTTGTAATCCCAGTGCTGGGGAAGTGGAGACAGACAGATCCCTGGGGATCACTGGCCAGTCAGTCAACCTTTTTTCAAAAAGCAAGGTTGACAGCTCCTGAGGAACAACACTCATGTTTGATCTCTTATACACACACACACACACACACACACACACATTCTCTCTCCATCCCTCAATTAGTGAAGACTTCCTCCAGTAGTATATGTGATGTGCAAATTATATCCTCTAAGCCCACTTTTGGGTGTGTACTGGGAACTGGGCTCAGGCTCTTACTTAACCTAGTAAGTGCATGCTTTACCTGAGATGCTTTGACAGTGCCTATCAGATCCTTAAGTTTCTCAGAGTTGTTTGGATGGATCTGTAAAATTTCAGAAAAAAAAAAAAAATCTTAGGAAGATTTCCCTGGAGACAGATGAACTGCTGGAGCCTTTTCTTTCTCTTTCTCCGTGAGGCATTTTGACTTAACATTTCTAGTAACAGCCGTTTGCTACTTTCTTAGCATCTCCTTTTTCGTTCGCTGGGGCTAAACTTGGCCTTGGCTGATCCTCCTGAGAATGATCGACTTCAGATTCTCAATGAAGCTTGGAAAGTCATCACTAAATTGAAGAATCCACAGGTGAGTGGCCATTTACACCACGGTCTACTGATTTTTGTAGAAATTATCCAATATACACTGAAGTTTTTTTTAATGTGCATGGGTGTTTTGCCTGCATGTATGTCTGTATACCATCTGTAAGCAGTGACCATGGAGGCCAGAAGAGGGTCCCCAGGAACTGGTTACTGGTAGTTTTTAGCCACCACATGGGTTCTGGGAGCCAAATCTGGGTTCTCTACAAGAGCAATAAGTGTTCTTAACTGTGGAGCTACCTCTCCACCTCAATGCATTTTGCTTTTAAGGAAATGAGCTTTAGCCATGTATGGTGACTCACATTTGTAATTACAGCACTCAGAAGACTGAGGCAGGAGGATGAAGCATTTAAGACCAGCCTGGGCTACATAAGGGAGATGCTGTCTCAAAAAACCAAAACCAAATAACAGCAAAACCTAATGATAATAAGTGAAATTTCTATCAATCAAACTTTTAAAAAAGAAACTCTCCTTATATCATTTATTAGCCCATAGAGGGAACAAGTAGCATTAAAGATGTTTTTTAATTTTTCTGTCTCAGTTATGTCTTGTTTCTTCTGTCCCGATTATATCTTATTTCTGAAGCCCCAGATTGCACTAAACATATAAGTTACCAGGATTAAAAACTTCAGGTGTCTTCTAGCTATGCAAAGAGCATCTAGAGTACAGCAGTCAAGTATGTATTATTTTAAATAGCAATCTACTAGGATATTCCTACAGGATTGAAGATTAGTGGTTGAACACCAGGGCTTCTAAAGTCTTACATGACAGAGCAGCTGGTATCATTTACTTTCGTGCATGTGATGATGGCTATGGCCATCAGGGATGTGTGTGAATGTAAGTGCTATACATATGCACATCACAGGGACGATTCAAGAATACGTCCTGTCATCCACCTTGTTTCTGAGCAGTTCATTTTAGCTGCCCATGGGTTCTTTTTTTTCTGTATCTTGTTTTTTTTTTGTTTTTTGTTTTTTGTTTTTTGTTTTTTGTTTGTTTGTTTTCATTCCTGGCTGACCTGTATTCTATGTAGACCAGGCTGGCCTGGAACTCACAGAGATCCTGGGTGCTGGAATTAAAACTGTGCTCCATGGTGTCAGACTTTATTACATGGGTTGTTAGTTTTGATGGCAAGTGCTCTTACCTGCTGTGCCGTCTCCCTGGCCCTTGTAGGGATTTTCAAACTTTTATAGGATAGATTTACAGCCCTTCTATAGATCAAATGGTTTTGTTTGTTTTGTTAAAGCAACAAGCAAACTTTGAATGCTCAGTTAGATCATCCCTGAAGTTTTCTGCTCAGACATGGCAAGGGCTCCTCGGATCATGGACCCTTTGCTCCTTAAGCATGACAGAGCTCCATAGATTTGCATCTTGGCCTAAGAAGCAATGCTGCGATCAAAGTCTGTAGTGAGCAGCAGGCTGCTTGTTTCCTTTTATAACTTGCTTTTCATGGTAATGTATATCAGTCAATCACTGTGCTCCTCAGACCCAGCATCTGGTAGAAGCAGCTTGAGGGAAGAGGCTTATTTTGTTTTACAGTTGAGAGGATAATGTCAGGGCTGACATGTGAGGTGGCTCAGGAGCCAGGTTCGTAGCAGCAGGAGCTTGTACTGTATTCTGTTATAGCTGGTTTGATTCAGGAATCATTGAGGCTGTGCTACAGCCCTCAATGGACCACCTCCTCTAGCTCTGTCTCTACCTAGATATTCCACAGCTTCCTAGAACAGCCACAGCAATGGGAGTTTGTGAGGGACATTCATATTCAAACCATAGGAGTAAGCCAGGCATTTCTGTATTTCTTGTCAGAGCCCTGGAGGATTTGTCTATGAACTTGTGGCAAAAGTTAATCAGTGTTGTGCCCACTCAGAAGCTATTTTTACCTTTACTTTGTAGGACTACATTAACTGTGCGGAGGTGTGGGTAGAGTACACCTGCAGGCATTTCACGGTATGTATGACTGTGGAGTTGTTTTCCTAAGGGTTTTGTGGTTTATCGGTTACCATAGCAACAGAGACTGGCCACTTAGGAACATTGCAGTGGTACTTGAGGTGGGGCCTCAGCTGTGTTGTCCAGACAGGTCTCAAAGTCCTGGGCTCAAGTCTGTTGATACGCCACTAAGCCCAGACCTTAAACGTTAAGAAGTGTGAAGTGTGAGCATGTGTTGCTAAAAGTGTGTTCCACACTGGCACATCAGACTTGGCAGTGCTGCATCAGTCAAAACTAAACAGGGGCCCTTGGGAACTACGATGCTAAAATATTTTGTAAATTGACATAAGTGTCTAGTGGGTAATGGACTTCAGACTCTGCCTCATTATAAAATAACAAGCTCTTAACTGCTGAGCCATCTCTCCAGCCATCCATCTTATTTATTATTATTATTATTATTATTATTATTATTATTGGTGTGTGGGAGGGCCATGTGTATGTGTACATGTTTACATTCAGAAGCCAGAGAAAGGAACCTCTTACCACTCTCAGCCTTTTTGAGTAGGCTAGTAGCCAGCAATCCTCCAATCTCTACTCACTCTATTTCCTGCTATTGCCAGTCCTGGAGTTACAGGTACAAATAGCTACTCCTAGCATTTTATGTAGGTGCTAGGGATCTGAACTCAGGTCCTCATGCTTGAGCATCCAGTCTTTTACAAGTAAGTGCAGGGTTATGGTTTGGATGTTCGTGTCTACCTTGCCTCCTTGATTCACATGGTTAAACCTGTTCCCTGAGTTCAGTGTCAAGATGTGGAGCTATAGGCAGCTGCCTGTACTTCTCCCTGCTGACTGGCATTGTGAGTGTCAGTCATACCGACTCTTGTTAACCATTTCAAGGATGCCAGATGTATCGTCATGAGAGTGGAGTCCTTGTGAGTGGGATTAGTGTCCATAAAGCAAAATCCCAAAGGAGTCTGTTAATCCCCTTCCATCATTAGGGGGCCTTGTGAGAAGGAGTTGTCTGTGAGGAGCAGGCTTTCTCCTGATACTGAGTCTGCTGGTGCCCTGATCTGAGACTTCCTGGCCTCTAGGGCAATGAGTAGGAAACCTTTGCTGTCTTTAACTTCCAGGCTTATGGTGTTCTGTTTTAGCAGACAGTACATGAGGAAGCATGACTGGGTTTCTATAAACTGTACTTAAACACACCGAAACTCGAATCTCAGAATTTTTGCTGCCATGAAATACTATATTAGGTAGGGTTTATGTTGCTATGAAGAGACAGAAAAACTATAGCAACTCAAATGGGTGGCTTACAGTTCAGAGGTAGGTTCAGTTCATTATCATCATGGTGGGACATGGCAGTGGGCAGGCAGACATGGTGCTGGAGAGACAGCTTAGAGTCCTACACCTTGTGCAGGCAGCAGGAAGTAAACTGACACACTAGATGAGTCTTGAGAATATATGAGACCTCTAAGCCCACCTCTGCAGTGACACACTTCCTCCAACAAGGACACACTTACTCCAACAAAGCCACATCTCCTAATAGTGCCACTCCCTATGAGCTTATGGGGACCAATTACATTCAAACTACCACAGATACCATCTTTCTGTGGGTCAAATGTGAAACTATTCCTCACTTGTTAGCTATGTAACAGGCAGGATTTGAGCTATACATGTCCAACCCATGGCATAGATGACAGATGTGACCAGTTAGGGCAGATGGCTTGTAAGGGGTGAATCTGTGCCCTTCCCACAATGTCTCACTGCTCACTTTTCAGATACTGAGGCAGGAACCTGGGCCAGGTAGACAGAAAGTAGCCTAAATGACTTTATCTTTCTAAAACAGCATTCAGTACTGATTTAGATTATCACAGCCATCTTGAGGTGGTGGTACTAGACTGAGGATGTGGACATGATTTCTTTCCTTGCTTTTATTTTTTTTTTTCAGAATATTTGAAACTATTTCATGGAAGGTGTGTGGCTTTTGCTTTTTTTGTTTGGTTTTTTGGTATTGGGATGAAACCAGTGCCTCACACATGCTGGGCAAGTGCTCACTAAACTATCCACCCAGCCCTGTATTGTGGATGTGTCAGTGTTTGCCCAGGATGATAACCAGTGGTCCCAGCCTAACAACAGTTGGTTTATGTTCCTGGTATAGAAACGAGAAGTGAACACTGTTCTGGCTGATGTCATCAAGCATATGACTCCGGATCGAGCATTTGAGGACTCCTATCCCCAGGTAACAGGACTGTGCTTCCCATTGTGGGGATCTTGTTCTGTTGAGTGAAGTACTCATGTTATACTGGTCAAAAGGTACACCTGGGAATCCTGTGTTTAATCTTGGCTCAGCCACATCCTAGCTTTGGGCCTCACTTTTGTCACCTGTGGAATGGGGGTAATGTTAGTCCTGTCTTCAGAGATGTTTTGAGGGTTGGGATGTGACATAGAAATGCTGAAATTGGGTGACACATGGCAAATTCTGAGTAAGCATTTGTCTTAAACTGAATAGGCATGAACTTAAACTTTTAAAAAGTATTAATATTATTCTAACGTTTGTTAAAACAGAATAATTTAGTATAATACAATTTAATAAAAATATAATAAAATAAGGAAAATAAAATAAAATAAAATCATCACTACTTACCAAGCAGGCACTTCCTAGCTTAGCTACTTATAAGATCCTCTCTCAAAACAAATAACCAAACTGTCTGTGTGTGTGTGTGTGTGTGTGTGTGTGTGTGTGGTGTGTATGGAAGAGAGCTTGAGAGAGTTGTTAAAGTAGTTCATTACAAGAGGGGAGGACATTATACTATATTATAATTCTGTTGCGCTAAAAGGAACTTAGAGAAGATGCTCAGAGTGCTGGGCACTTAAGACAGGAATGTGAGAAACACATTGTAAAATTGGTCAGACAGCATGAACAGAAAATCAGGGTTGTCTGTTGAAGCAGCATCTACAGGAGACAGTTGGCTACACACAGACAGCTACAGTCCAGAGAAGGCTCAGAGAGCTCATCATGAGACACGAGTGAGTAAACCTTGCTCTGAGAAAGGAAAAAGTTGAAGGAAAGCAGATGTGGGTACAGGAGAGAAATCTGACTCATGTTAGCGTACCTAGGCTGCCAGCCCTCCTGTTGAGGGCATTCCTATTTGTTCCTGTAGCTCCTGGTAAATTGTTGCTTTAGTACTGTGACCTTTTATTGTCATTATCATCATCATCATCATTTTAATATTATTATTATTCTTTCATACAATATATCCCAATTGTGGTTTCCCCTCCCTCCACTCCTCCTAGTCTCTCCCCCCTCACATCCTCTCTCCCCAGAGGTAGCCACCAAACATGTCATAACAAGATACCATAAGACTAGGCAAAAACTCTTACTTATATCATGGCTGGACGAGGCAACCTAGTAAAAGAAAAAGGGTCCCAAGTACAGACAAAGGAGTCAGAGATGCCCCCAATTCCACTGTTGGGAGTCCTACAAGAACACCAAGCTACAAAAGCATAATATATTCGCAGAGAACCTAGCTCAGACCCATACAGGATCCCTGTTTATTGGTCAATCTTTGTGACCCTCAATGAGAGTCACCAGTCACAGTGAATGTTTTGTATATGCAATTCAGTTTGGGCCCATATATTTTGTGGTAAATCTTTATGCTCCAGCATGCAATTTTCAGATAATAAATTATCAAAAGAACTAAGCAAAAATGAATGAATGAATGAATGTGAGATGTATTCAAGTGGGCCATTCAGGGCTGTGCTCTCTGTTGATGGGAGGAGACATCAGTCTGGGAAGAAGTGACTTACTCAGATCTAGGATGAAGAACCACAGTAAGCCTGGCACTCTCAGAACTTGGTTATTACATTCATTTATTGTGTGTGTGTGTGTGGGGGGGATGGGTCCATGTGTGCTATAGCACACATGTGTAGGCCATAGGACAGTTTATAGAAGTTGGTTCTCTCCTACCGTCTGAGTCCTGGTGAATCAAACTCAGTTTGTCTGGCTTGGTGAAGGTTTTTTGGTTTTTTGGTTTTTTTTTTTTTTTTTTTTTTTTAACCTCCTAAGCCATCTAAATGGCTCAACACTCATTTTTTAAATGTGTGCCAGAAAATAAGGACACGACCAGACATTGATGGGGATGTGAAAATGAACTAGAACAGCTTGAAAAGGCCCCCTAGGCTTCCGGTCTGGGCAGCAAAGGAAACTGGGTGAGAGCTGAGGAGTAGCTCCCCAAGTCAGGGCTCTTGATTTGCAAGAATACTCCAGTTCAAATCCCTAGCACGCATGGAAAAAGCCAAGCATAGTTGTGTATGAGGGGGTCATTGGAGCTTGTTAGCCACCAGCCTAACTTCAGGTTCAGAGAGAGACCCAGTCTCAGAAGAGTTCCCCAAGTGAGAAAGTTCCAGGCAGTTCCCTCAGGTGAGGATTTTATGTACGAAGCAACTGACAGTCAACATCATCCAGTCAAGTGCTCCCAACATCCCGCAGAAAACCATTGGGAAAGCTGAGGCTGACATTCCTGGTTCAGCTTTCTGTCCATGGATGAACTTTTCTTTCCTACCCACAGGCATTCTTTATGTCATGTGATAACAGTAGTAACCTGTTCTGGAGACACAGCTTTTAGGCTGGGGGGCTGGGAGCAACCATCCCTAAAGAGGAAGGACTTTGAGACAGGCATACTTATGCCTGAAGTGTTTCCAGAGCCAATTTCTCAATGGGCTCAAAAGGCATGTGAACATTTACCAGAGTAATGTACTAGTACTACACAGAGCCAAGGAGCAGTGATGAGACCAGGAATGGCTGTGTCCCTGAATCCCCCATGTGGCCACACCCCAGTAACCTGAGGGCTGCTCACCAAGGTCCCCATCCTTCTAACATTCTACCCTCTCCCAGTTGTACCATCAGGAAACCAAGACTCTAATACATGGGCCCTTGAGAGAGACCTATTCAAACCATAACCAATTAGTGAAATTTGATGAATGTTGGTAAAGAATGCGCAGGAGCTCTTGGTGTAATACTTTTAGCTTTTCTGTAAATTTGAAATTATTACAAGACAGTTTTTAAAATAGGCACACTACGTTTATAAATTTCATCATTATGGATGGTTGGCTTAGGGGATGAAGCAAAGGAGACAATGTTGGCTTTCAAAGAATCCACTGAGGAATAAATGGGTGTTGGACAGTGCCTTCAATTTGCATTTTCATCATGAAATGTTACTGGGAGAACCCCTATCATTTAAAACCGTAACATACATGTAGCTATGCAAAAGTATTTTAAGTGTTTTTGTTCCAAAACAATCAGTTGCCTTGTGTGAGAATATTTTAATATGATATAATGCCCTGGGACATTGCTCATCATGAGGTTTTTGTTTTGTTAGAGATGAGGTCTCCCATGTCTTGCCTGGGCTGGCCTTGAACTCATCTTCCTGACAGTGTCCTGATGAACTGGGGCTATAGGTGCCTACCACTGTGTGGTGAGCTTTGAGTCCCTCCTTAGTCTTTACCTCAACTGATCTGGCCAGCGGCTTCCTTAAGAAGGAAGCTGTGCATTTCTACTTTTGTAGAACTTGAGAGTTGATATGGCAGTAGTTTGAAGTATAAACAAGGTGTTTGTCAGCAAATGTTCTGGATGGCACCCAAAGGCCAGGAGTTAACTTTTATGTAGAAGTAGCATCTCCTTTGTTCTCCCAGGCCAAGCCCTTTTAGACCAAAACTGTGTTTATCTCAGGGTGAAGTCAGTAGACATGAGGCTCTAGGCCTTTTTGAGACTTGGCAAGATCTTTGGGGCAGTGGCCCTTGACTCCACTGGTAAAACCCCATCATCTTCCTCTCCCTGAAGTAATAAAGAAAGGCAGAACCATGGTGGACTGTCATAGGGGGTGGCAGTCTGTGGCACATACCCACTCATAGCCCATCACTTGTTTGCGTGAATAAAGTTTTATTGGCACACAGGTACTCATCTGTTCCCACACTGGTTCTGGCTGCATCCATGCTTCATCCATGCTTGAATAGTTGTGTGGGACTGTGGACCTGTGATTTTTGTGGTCTCCTAGACTAGCAACAGAGGCTAAGGTGATATCCAGAGGTGTAATTGTTGGTAGTGTGTTTGTCTACCATACACAAAGCTCTGGGTTAGATTCCCTGGCACCACATACAGCAGGTAGAGCAGCACACACCTGGACTCTCAGCACTGGGGAAGTAGAGGCAAAAGAGCTAGACGTTCCAAGTTATCCTTGGCAACATACTGTGTTCAAGGCAATCCTAGACTACTTTTATTCTGAAAGGTAAGAAGAGAGCATTGGAGAACAGGCTCTTCCCTGAGCATATGGGCAACCCTACTTAATCCTCATGGACATTGCCCTGCAGAAGAAGCTGAGGCATGGGCCTTGTCCCCAGGACTCTGAAGGAGGAGGTAGAGTAACAAAGGTAACCTTACAGAGGCAGGGTCCAACCTGATCTAGTTTTCCTTCGTTGAACAATCCAGGCTAACTATTGTGATTGTAGTGGGCAGTATGAAGGAGGGCTGCCTTTTAAAACATATGGGCTTTATTAAACAAGATGTGTTCTTTTGTTTTGTTTCACAGCTTCAGTCAATAATTAAGAAAGTCATAGCCCACTTCCACGATTTCTCAGTTCTTTTCTCAGTGGTAAGTAGCATTTCATAACAACCCTTGGAGACTTGTGCCCTCTGTTGCTTTCAGGTTTTTGTGTTACCCAGGCCAGGAGTACTAAGTTCCTTTATTAAAGCACTCAGGTCCTGTAAGCTTAACAAGCAAATTTGTGCTATGACTTAAACACCATTTGGAAGCACAGTATATGCAAACTGAGTGAAGAATGTTATTTCTGTGTAGTTCCTTCTTGTCAGAGGGGTGTGCACCGCACCTGCTGCTGGTTGAGCACCCCCTTGTCCAAGTGCTTGGGGCAAGAAGTGCTTCATACATGGTATTTTATTCTTGGATTTGGGGGTTACACACGCAGACACACACACACACACACACACACACACACACACACACACACGTTTACACGCCTTGAGAGCCGGGACCCAAATCTAAACAGAACAGAATTCACTTATATTTTATATGTATCTTTACACAAAGGCAGAGTTTCATATACTATCTTAATAATCCTGTACAAAGGACCGAGGATGCAACTCAGGGATACAGTTACTTACCCAACATGTTCTGTGCCCACACTGCAAAACAACACAACAGTCACAAGCAGAACATTCAACTTGGGGCATTGTGTTGGCACTGGATAGTACTGATTCGGGAATATCTCTGATTTCAGATTTAGATTAAGGGTGCTCAGTCTGTAATCATTAAAGAAAGAATTCCAAGCCAGGTCCTTGAGGGGACTTCCAAACATTCATTCTGCTTATTTGAAATGTCCCCTCCCAAATGACCCACAAATTATTTCCAGTTATTTGTGTTAAGTGCTTTCTCTAATCATAGGAAAAGTTTCTGCCATTTCTGGACATGTTCCAGAAAGAGAGTGTGCGGGTGGAGGTTTGCAAGTGCATCATGGAAGCCTTTATCAAGTGAGTACAAGATGGCACAAGTGGCAGCCGTGACTCCTAGCACTTTGTGAAGTGCGTTGATGATTGATGCATGCTGGGTCCTAGTGATGTATGCATACCTCACCCCCAAAACACCATAGGGGTTTTAAAAGCAGGTGGTGCCATGCCAGGCACAGTTACTAATTCCTATAATCCTATGGTCAGAAGGCTGAGGCAGGAGCATGGTTAAGTTCAAAGCTAGCAAGACCTTTGTGTGTGTGTGTGTATGTGTGTGTGTGTGTGTGTGTGTGTGTGTGTGTGTGTGTGTGAGAGAGAGAGAGAGAGAGAGAGAGAGAGAAACAGAGACAGAGAGAGAAACAGAGACAGAGAGAAAATATGTATGTAGATAATTTAAAATATTTTAAGAAAAGAAGAAAGCAAACTGAGCAAGCAATGGGAGTAAGGCAGCAAGCAGCATTCCTCAGTAGTTTCTGCTTTAGCTCCTGCCCTGACTTCCCTTCATGACAGATTGTAAACTGTAAGCTGAAATGAAGCCCTCCCCCACCAGAAATGTTCTTTTACTTATTGGGGTCTGAAAATATGAGTTGGTAGTTAAGAGTACTTACTGCTCTTGTGCTGGACCTGGTTTGGTTTCCAACATCCACATACAGCTCACAACCATTCATAACTCTATGTCTAGGACATCTTATGCCCTCTTCTGAATTCTATAGGCATCAGGCATGGCACACATACATGCATTTAGGCCAAGTGCTCATATATATCATAAACCTTTAAAATTTTATTTTATATGTATGTGTGTGTATGTCATATGTATTATGTGTATGCAGGAATCCATGGAGGTTAGAAGAGGTCATCAGAGCCTCTGGAACTGGAATTTCAAGTGGTTGTAAGCCACATGTGGGTACTTGAAATTGAATATGGAAGTAAGTGCTCTTAGCTGCTGAGAAATCTTTCTGGCCCCATGATAATTTTTAAAATATCAGGCACCATGATAAAAGAAAGCCAAAGGAGGTCTGGAGAGATTGACTTAATGGGTAAAGGTGCTTGCCATCACACCTGATGATCTGAGTTCAGTCCCCAGGACCCAAACGATAGAAGGAGAGAACCAGTTCTGTGTGCATGCCATGGAGCACACTCCCAAAATAAGTAAATGAAAGAAAACCAAACCAACCAACCAGACAAACAAAAAACCAGGGCTGGAGAGATGGCTCAGTGGCTGTTCTTCCAAAGGACCCAGGTTCAATTCCAGGCACCCACATGGCAGCTCACAACTGTCTCTTACTCTTGGAGATCTGACACTCTCACACAGACATACATGCAAGCAAAATGTCAATGTACATAAAGTAAAAATAAATAATTTTTTAAAAAAGGAAAAAAATAAAAGACCAAGTACAAACCAAACTGTCAGATGTTGATACGATGCTGGCCACCAGTTCAGTTTATCTGTGATTTCATGTTGGTTCTTGTAGGGTAAGGCTATATTGTAAAATGAAAATTGCTCTAAATACTAAGTACACGAATACAGTTGAGTTTAGAAAATTGAGTTTGATATTACTCCAAAATATTGTTTATTGTTCTCTTTTTAAAAAGGTTTTTAATTGCATTCATCTCTCTCTCTCTCTCTCTCTCTCTCTGTGTGTGTGTGTGTGTGTGTGTGTGTGTGTGCGCGTGCGCGCACGTGCACATGTGTGCAAATACTGGAGTACAGGTGTGGAGGTCAGAGGAAACAAGTAAGTTTTCTCCTTACCTCATGTGGGTTGTCAGCCTTAGTAGCGAGTACCTTTACCCATTGAGGCATCTTGCTGGCTCTCTTCCTATCTTTCTAGAAGATTAATTCCTGGTCCATGAGATAGCTCATGGGGTAAGGCACTCATTGTGCAAACCTGACAACCCAAGTTTAATCCCCCGAACCCATGTAAAGTGGAAGGAGAGCTGACTCCAGAGTCGTCCTCTAACCTCCACTTACATATTGTAGCATGCCTCTACCCACCCACACAAGTACATATAATGATAAAGATAACTTTTTAAATGAACTCATTCCTAAAGATTAATATTGACTGCTTTATCTTTAGAATATTTGGAACAGCCACATGTACCTTACTCGAAGATTCAGTTTGGGTGTTGGTCCTGTTGTGTTTTGCTTGGCACTTAACTTCCATGTGGGCAGCAGCTGCAGGTGTTAAAGCCTGCCAGGCTTTCCCTTTGCCAGGCACAGGCAATAGCTTATGGTGATTTTACAACTAGGAGCAGTCAAATATGTAAGAGAACACCTTGTGACTTACAGAAGAGCTGAGAGGAAAACCAGAGTGGTGCATCTCACTGATACACTGCATATATGCAGTACCAAACAGAGTATTTAGTGTTCTCATACAGCTGCCAAAAACCAAACCCACTCTTTCATGGCCATGGACAGAGCTTTTACAATTGTCTCTTAATGTCTCCTAGGCACCAGCAGGAGCCAACCAAGGACCCTGTCATCCTGAATGCCCTTATGCACATTTGCAAGACCATGCACGACTCTGTGAAGTAAGATGTCCTTAAAGCTGAAATACAGCATGGCTGGGATGTGTTAGGATGATATCTGCAAGCTGCTGCTGCACACAGCTTGATCTGGTTAGATTCCTGAACTGAGGCTGGAGAGAGCAGAGTGAATAAGAGCATCTATTGCTCTTGCAGAGCACCCAGGATCGCATGTTGGCTCATAGTTGCCTATAATCACATTTTCAGGAGGTCTGACATCCTCTTCTTACTTCTGTAGGCTCCTGCAAGTGCATGAACTCATGCAGACTCACACACATACACATTAAAAAAAATGAATGGAATGAAAAAGAGGCTGCAGAGGTGATTCAGTTGATAATATGCTTGTTGTGCAAACAAGAGGACCCGAGTTCAATCCATGGCACCCATGTAAAAGCCAGATCCTGCTATACACTTCTGTAACCTCAGTGGTGGGCACACAGACAGGCTGAGCCCAAGCCAGCCCATCTATCAAAATTGATAAGCTCTAGACCAGTGAAACCCTGCCTCAAAATAGGTGAAGAGCAGTTGACAAAAACACATAATATCAGTCTCTACATTCCACATACATGTAGAATGTATACACACACACACACACACCTACCTACCTACCTACCTACCTCTATTGAAAAGAACACTCCAGTCTTATAGAGCAAGGAGCACAGGCTAACCTTCAAATGAAAAAGGAAATAGGAAATGTTTTTACAGAGGGATTTCTGTTGGGAAGAAGGGGCTGGTTTTGTGAAAGTGAACTCAAATTCTGTCTCCTGGGTTTCTGAGAGCAGTGATGGTATAATGGCAGCTCACACAGCCTCTTAGTTCATCCCATTCTTATCTTGTTCTTTAACACAGCTCCCATTTTTTATAGTAACTTTATGTGCCCAGAATGTTAAAAGCTCAGGTCTAGCCTCAGACCTTAACCTTTCACTTAGAGGCTGCTTCCATCTTACAAGTTGTTTGTGGTCATTTTAATCTCCAAAGAATTTTTGCACAGCAGCTTGATTCACTGGGAAGTGTTTTAAGAATTGAGAGTGTTGCTTTGGAATCTCATCATCCACACGGTTCTTCTCTTTTCCTCCTTTTAATTTTAGAATCTTTATAACTGTGCCTTCAAATTCATGAGCAGTTATACAAATACAAATCCAATTTTATTACACTTTTGCCAGGTGCAGTGGCATACACCAGTAATCCCAGCACTTGCAAGACTAGGGCAGGAGGATCACAAGTTCAGGGCCAGACTGCATAATGGGCCTTGTCTTAACAACAACAGTAATAATACATTTTTGTAATAAATGGGCCCAGGAGACCTTAATTGAGCAAAAATAAAGGTACTCAGCTGTTTACAAGGTGGGGATTTGGCTCAAGAGGCCTGCAGTGAGGAATGTTAGCTCTTGGGTACATCACCTAAGGGTCCAGGTTCTGTGTTGTTGCTCTGACATCCCTGAGCCATGCTGCCCTTATCTTCCTTCTGGAAGGTGGCCTATGTCTACACAGGCCATGTCCACAGTCCAGCCCATACTTTGGAGGATAGCAGCTTTCTCTTTGGGACACTTGGAAGATTCACACTTTGCCTGTATTCACACTATGTAACACCTAGCTATGAAGTAGGGTGGAAAACGTTTCAAAGAACTGAGGAGCACCAAACATGGCTTCATATACCTCTAATCCCAGTACTCTAGGCTCAGGCAGGAGGCCAACCTGGGCCATATAATGAGGCCTTGTTTCAAATACTAAAAATGAAAAGAACTGAGGGCACATTACATATCAAAGAACAGTGCAATATTTGCCAAAATTTATTTTCCCTCATGACAAGCCAAATAAAACTTTAATGCCTATTTATTTTTTATTCCTGGAGATTAAACTCAGAGCCTTGCACAATGCTAGGTAATCATTCTACCACTGAATCCAGTCACCAACCCCAAATTTTTAAAAACTTTAAAAATAAATTTTGAGAACTATTTGTATGTGTAATCAAACTAGACTCAGCAATTGAAATTTGTATTTGTATTAATATTCTGCAAAATATAAATGAGACTTGTTTTCAGACACATACAAAAGTAAGGTGATTAATGGATGAAGGTAGGGATGAGTAGTCATGTGATAAAACACGCATCACAAGGTGTCAGAGTAGAAGCTTGATGGCAAGTGTGTGGGTATTCATTAGAAAGTTCTTTGATAAGCAGCGGTGGTAGTGAATGCCTTTAATCCCATTCCTAAGAGGTAGAGACAGGTAGATCTCTGTGAGTTCAAGGCCAGCCTGGTCTACAGAGTGAGTTCCCGGACAGTCAGAGCTGTTACATAGAGAAACCCTGTTTTGGGGAGGAGGGGAGAAGAAGAAGAAAGTTCTTGGGTGTATGGCAGAAAATTTTAAAAATGGAGATACCAGGTTTTCTCTGAAGTGCAAACCCTAATGTCAGTGCTTGCTGTCTGAATTCTTTATAAAGAAGAGAAAGTTGCCTTCTTTTGTGCTGTTGATAACCACGCCTTGGAATGGCGTCTTCAGGGAGAAGAGACATACATATGAATTGTGTTCCCTTTGGTTAACACTTCTATCTAAAGATAGACAGGCAGCCTGTTGGGAGTTTCTGCATCTAGAAAATGCACAGTGGCCTCACTTTACACCGCCCGCCTCTGGTGCTTTCCTCTTCAGGCGGCTACATTTGCTGCGTTCCTGTTAATTATGCACTATTATTGATTGTAGCGCTCTCACTTTGGAGGATGAGAAGAGGATGCTGGCCCACTTGATCAATGGATTTATAAAAATGGTAAGTTTGTAGGAAAGAAGTTCCAGTTCACTTGGAAACATGATGTCATTGTTTATCCCCTCTCTGCTGAGAGTGCCTCACGTTGTATTCCCCAGTGCTTTTCATTTTTACTTCGATAAGATGGAATTAGAAATTTCTTACATTTGCCAAGACTCCCATGGGAGCAAACAGAGCCAAGAGAGACTGACTGAGGAAGAAGTTAAGGGGAGGGGTGGGACAGGGAAAGTGAGATGAAAGCTCCTGTGGAGTGGCTGGACTTGGGGTCTCCTCTGCCACTAGGACCACCCATCTATGTCATCTTTGGTCCCTCCCTCTTTTCCAGTTGCCTTCTGTCCTAAACAGGCTTACCTCTAAGCCTGTAACCACAGCTTCTGGGACTGATGCTCTTTGGATTAACTTTTTACTAGTTACATTTCTCATGTCCGTATTCAAATACCTGACAAAAGGAATTTAAGCAAGGAAGGGTTTGTTTTGGCTCACAGTTTGAGAGTACAGTCTATCATGGCGGGAGTGCCGGTGTTGATGTCACCAAGATGGGAACTTGAGGCCACAAGTTACTTTGTGTCCACAGTCAGGCAGAGAGAGCAGAGGGGAGGAGAGAGAGAGAGAAGGAGAGAGGGAGGGGGGAGAGAGAACAACAAAGAGAGAGACAGACTGACAGTGATAGACAAAAAGAGACAGACAATGCCTGTGTTTGGCATGCTTTCTCCTTTTTCTGTAGTCTGGGACCACAGCCTAAGGAATGGTACCGCCTACCTTTAGGGTGGATTTCTTCATCTTAGTGAAATTGACAATCATGATTAACCATACAACTTGGGAGGCCTGAGAGACTCCTGGTGACCCTGATCTCGAAGACCAAGAATGGACAGCCAAGTCCCTGAAGTAGCTGTTGTGTGGATTGTTGTTGGGTAGTGACAAAACCTGTGGCTGGGCAGAATGCCACATACAGAGCCACACCCATTCCATCCATTCACTGCTGCTTGGCAGTAACCCGAAGTGTGGTAGCATACAATAGCAAATGGCTGCTTTCTTTGTTTTTCAATTTATTTTTTATTCGATGAATTTATACAAGGAAACATTATATTTTGTTCATATCACCCCATTACCCTCTCTCACTGCTCCCCACTCTGGACCCTTTCCCAACAAGTTTGCCTCTTACTTTGATGTCTTTTATTTCAATTTTTTTGACCCACTGAGTTCCGTTAGTGTTACCTGCATGAGTTTGGGTGTGGAATTATTTATTGGATTATGGGCATCTTACTGTGAAAACTGACTCTCCCTCCTCCGGCAGCCATCATTGCTGTCTTTTCTTAGTTTGTATGTCTGTGGGTTGGCTGGCTATCCAGGCCTCTTTGAGGATGCGTAGTATGGCTTGGTGGAATATCCAAGAGAGCCTTGCATACCTTCCCAGACTGCTGCTGAATGGTGCTATTGTCTTCCAAGTAGCGTCTTCCTGTTTACTCATGTCTTGTTATCTAGTTGTCTTAGTTTTTATGTCTCACATGGTGCTGTCTTTCATGAGGGTACAATATGGGAGCTCAGGACTTGGGAAAGCCAAGCCTTAGATACACACTGACTCTCAGTTTTATTCTACTGGGATCTGTCAGTCAAAGTGAGGCATAGGGTCATCTGTTAGGGAGAGGAGGTGAAGAGACCTCACCTCCTGGAAGAGACCAAAGGAGACCTCACCATGGGAAGGATTGTTTTATTCTTTTATGGAAACAGCCTGCCAGTTGGTGTTCCAGCTTTCCTTTGCCTCAATTCTGGGTGTTACTGAGGGCTTACTATGTGGCCCAGGCTGGCCTTGAACTTCTGAACTGAAGTAGTCCTCCTGCCTTAGCAGTTAAGGATGATAGGTGCACATCACACTCCTGGCTTGGAATCCTCTATTTTAATAAAACCTCAGAATCCAAACTGACTGAGGTAGAAATGTTGCAGTCCCCTGATAACAACTGTGAAACGGTGACCTGTCCAAGCAAGAGTGAAGCTGCCCACTAGTTCTCTGGGTGCCATCAATTTTGATGGAAATTCACGACTGGCCTTTCTGTTTCCAGGTAGGAAATGGACCTGGGGATTTTACTGAGTGCCTCTCCTTCATCCTTGGTTCACATAGCATGGTTTATCCCTTCCATCCTCTGTCTGCATGTCCCCAAGTCTCAGGAAGTAAGGTGTGAGCAGCAAAGCTCTGTGCAGGCTGATCTGAGGAGTGGCGAACTCTCTCCTATTGTGCAGCTTTTCATAAAGACAGGGAAAGAGGCGCCATGGGGTTGAGGTGGAGACGCTTCCTTTTGTAGGCCTGGAAGCCACCAGTGAGCTGCTGAGGTCAGGCCCCCATCAAGAAATAGTGGGTGTGGCCCTTATTAGGGAAGCTCTTGTGACAAATGGCTCCCAAGGACTCATGTTATTATGTTCTGTGAAAAGGTCACAGCTGACAAACAAAATTCCGTGATTTCCTTTCCTTGCCAGTCTGGAAAAATTCTATTTTTGCACTGCCCCTGTTTTGTGCCCTTGGCGTCTCACTCTTGTCACAGAGCTGGGCTGCTCAGAGTGACATTTCAGCTTTATTTGGGCTTAAGTGCTATGAGACCTTTGTCGTCAGGGAGAGCGTATGTGTGTCTGTGTGTGTGTGTGTGTGTGTGTGTGTGTGTGTGTGTGTGTGTGTACATGAATGTGTGGGCACACAGTGCATTCATGCACACTCGTTTGTATTCCCACTAATAACAACACTGTGCCTTTTAGCATCTCTTTCTCTTTGATTCTAGGTCTCCTTCGGTCGTGATTTTGAACAGCAGCTCAGCTTTTATGTTGAGTCCAGGTCGATGTTTTGTAACCTGGAGCCTGTTCTTGTCCAGTTGATTCATGTAAGCATTCTTGTCCTGTGTTCTTTAAATGAGTGTTAGTTGGTTGTCAATATGTCACATACTAGACTCAACCTGGGAGTGTTCTCTTAGTTATTTGAGACTAGGTCTCATGTCCCCAAATTCACTATGTACCTAAGGCTGGCTTTGAACTCCTGATCCTTCTGCCTCCACACCCCCCACCCCAGGTCTAGGATTAAGTAGCAAGAGTCTGATTCTACAGGGATTCTCCTGCTACTCTCCTCTTGGTCTGGAAAGGTGGTTCCTTGGAGACTGAGCAGATCCACAGCTTCGCTTAAGTCTTTGAGTGCTCTTAGTCATTTTTTCTTTCTTTTCAAGTTTTGTTGATTTTTCTTCCTTCTTGAATACCCCTCCCCCTTCTCAGAAATCAATAATGACAAGAGTAAAGTGCTCTTCACTGAGCTGCACTGATGGGCAGGTGACCTGAGGTCTAACCAGAGGTTTGCTGCTCTTTATAGGCTTGCTGACCCCCTGAGTCAAAGTAAATAGTAACAGCCCTGCCTATTTTAAACAGCTAAAGTAAAATAATATATATGTATAAAAATTGGAAGAAAAAAACAGCATTTTTATTTTGTTCTTTTAAAAAACGATTCCTAAATAATACAGTTACAGACTGGGTGTGGAGCACAGTAGCAGGGCCTGGCATATGTGAGGCCCTGGGTTCCAGCCCTGTATCCAGCAGAACAGAGAAAAATATGCCACTTACGTAACTAATCACTTCCTGATGAAGTAAGTGTGTGCACTGCATAGTCCCAGTCTTGCAATCAGATCACTTACCTCTGCCCCTATTTTCTCCCAATCCTTATTTTCTCATCAATCTTCCCCATCCCCCAACTTTTTATCACTGTAGTTGCCAAAAGTCCAGTTATGCAGAGTATGGCTATAAGTGCTCTAATTCAGTGAAGTCATACTATACCATACCAGCACTTTGCACAGAGTCCAACAATTGCTATTTTTAAAATCTGCCCTTGATTGCAGCACCCTGAGGATGCCTTGATACACAGTTTGGGAACCAAAAATTATACTTTTTAATTGATTTTATATAGAAGAACAACACTTTTTATATATTTATTTCCTCCCTCCTTAGTATGTTACTTTGTACAATTCATTCCAAGACCTAAATCTAGAGACCCTACCATGAAATAGGGGTTGGTCACGGTGCCCATCCATAGAGTTGTAAGGATCAAATAAGCTGGTGGTTTGTATCAGCTGAATAATGTGGCTGTAGTTACTGCTGTTCATATTAGCATATTAGCTACATTACTCAGTCTACTGTTAGATTTGGAAGTTTCCCTGAGAGCTTGTGCTTAGAATGTGGGACTTTCTGGAAATGATATGTAAGCAAACCCTGGCTATTCATTAAACCAGAAAAATGTTAATTTGTTATGCTCGTTGGTAGGTATGACTAACACAGTACTATGTTTTACTATCTTGGAGATATTTGCTGAAGCCTAACCTGCCTATTGATCTTAGTACTTCAGCATGAGGGGCCAGCCAGCTGGTTAGTCTTAGTCCATGTTTGGTTGTTTGCATTGATGTTTGTGGAGCCTGCATCTTAACCCCTGGAAGATGTTACTTTGGGTCATGATCATTTCATTATGTTTTCTGTTTTATTTCTTCACAAATCTAGAGTGTGAACCGGTTGGCAATGGAAACAAGAAAAGTCATGAAGGGGAACCACTCCAGAAAGACAGCTGCATTTGTCCGGGTGTGTCCTAAGGATAAGGGCTCTAGACTTGGAGTACAGTGGGTTCTTGAGTTTGCTAAATGGCTTTTTCCCAGAGAAAGCTAAGTATGTCATGAGAAGGGTGGCTTAGTGTTGATTTGCAAGATTTGTTTTTCCCTTGGAATTGATGGACTAAGCAGCTTCTGTATTGTTTTCAAAAGAAATGTTCAAGAAGCCTAAATTTCAGAACAAATCACACATCTCCAATCTCCACATCTAAAATATTCCAAAATCTGACAACTTACTGTGATGCTTCAAATGGATAGCTCCATGCTGTGACTGTGTTTCGTGTATAGAGTTATTGAAAATGCTTTGTGCAGTTACCTCAAGCTGTGAGTGAGAGGCATATAGGGGATATAATGAAACTCTGTGTTTTGACTTGGGGTCCCCTCCAAAATCCAAAACTCTTTAAAACCAGAAGCACCTCAAATAAGTGGTGCTCACCCTCCTTGTGTTCTGAGGTGGTTGAGAGAAGCATTTGTATTCCTTTGTGCCAGCCACATTCCCTTGAATTTTCTCTGATATATAACTATAAAATCTTTCTCTAGCGATATCATTTTCACATATCATGTTTTTGCTCTTGGTCGGGGTTATCTCTACGTCAAAGTTACATCCAAAAATGTCAGTACATCCAAATGCTCCAAACCACAGTAGAGTGGCAGTGCCCCCATCTTTTGAAATGAAAGCATGCCCAAGTGATTATAGTTAAAGAGAGGCGTTCACCCCCTTCCCCTTTACCTCTGTCCCTGGTGTCCCACACTATTTGACTTTTTAGCCTCCCCAGCATAGCTGCTTATTACCTCCATTCCTGAATAGTCTGTTTCTCCATTGCCCACATAGAGATGTCATCTATGTATGAGGGATGAAGAGCTACTTTTCAAACTATTTCACCCTTTTCTTCTTTCCCACCTTCCCAAGGCTCATAACTGGGGTTGATTGTGTGTGTGTGTGTGTGTGTGTGTGTGTGTGTGTGTGTGTGTGTGTGTTGGAGGAAACGGAGAGTTAGGGTTAGGTGTCTACTTGGAAACACATGCTGGGTGAATGTGGGCATATTGATTAACCATCTGCATCTCCCTTCTCTCTAGGCCTGTGTTGCCTACTGCTTCATCACCATTCCCTCCCTGGTGGGGATCTTTACCCGCCTCAACCTCTACCTGCATTCTGGTCAGGTTGCCTTGGCCAACCAGTGCCTCTCCCAAGGTAAGCTTTACTGTCTCTATCCTTAGTGCTCCTTTGTGACTTAGGAAGTCTGATTCAACCATATATATCTCTGCATGCATGCATGTACCAAGAGGGCCTTTAAGGGGAAAGAAGACAGCAGTCAGGAATATTTTTTTTTTTTTTTTTTAGTTATTCAAGACAAGGTTTCCCCGTGTAACCATCTCAGCTGTCCTTGAACTCACTTTGTAGACCAAGCTGGCCTTGAACTCACAGAGATCTGCCTCTGCCTCTTGAGTGCTGGATTAATTTCATGCACCACCATCTGGCTTAGTAAATATTTTTAAATGCTTCTCTAGTAGGAAACATGGAGTCAGGCAGCATGGAGACAGATGGGGGGTGGGGAGGCGGTGAGATATTTTCCTGTCCCGAGCTTCTCCAGTCTGTCTCAGGCCAGGTCTGACACCCAGACATCTTGGGCTAGGATGCCTACGGAGCTGAGAAGTTAGGTTCAGGGTTCAGGGTTGTTTTTTATTGTTTCTGTTTGTTCATGTGTTTGAACACCAGACACAGAAGTGAAATCTAACCTTTGAATAGCAAATACCTTGCTATTGGGGGGCGATAACTCCACTCTGCCTGTTTAGTTTACCTGAGAGGGGTGTTGGGGAGGTGAGACAGAGAAGAGAGGCGGTGTAAGCTCAGCCCTGGTTCCTGGGCATGGATGAAAACAGCACCACTGTGTTAGGACTCAGGGCTGCTGGACTTCACCCTGACTTTAAGCAACTGCTGGGCATAGCAATGTGGTGGCTGCTTCGTGTTTAAAAATTCATCTGATATTTTTTGCTTGAGTATAAATGCAATCACACTAAACCTTAAAAGGCCATCACTGTCATTCTGAAAGCCACACAGAGCAGTTACTGGCCAAATAAATAATGCAGCCAATTACTGAGGAGGAGAGAGCTAAATATGAAGCTCATGGGAGCTGGTTGCTTATCTTTGTATCCCCGAACATCCTCCCATCCCAACTGGCTCTAAAATATCACCCTCCTTGTTCATTCTCTGGCTTGCCTTCATCCTGCCTTGATTACATCTCCATTTTCAGGCTGGCCTCTGCTAGGGCTGAGTCCAGGGTCTTGCTAGAAAAGGCTTAGTTCCATCTGTTTGTGCACAAGGGTCCCCACATGTAGATAGGATCGTGCTGGCATTTCCTGTAGATTTCCTTGCCTGTCACCCGGTAGCACTGAGCAGCCACGAAAACCTTGCATGTCAGGGTTTCTCACCTGGAGATGGCCCAGAAATGCCTGTCTGCCTTTTCTTTGAGCCCCTACTCCAGATGGCATCTTGTTCTTTTTTTGTCAGTGGCTCAAAAGAATGTGTGTTTTTATAAGGAGGACATGGGAAGGGGAGAGAGAAGAAGCAGGCAGCCTTCTGATGGAGTGAAGGGTCTGAGCAAAGGTCTGGAGAAGTGGATAGATTGCCTATGTTCAGCCACCAACAGGTGTGCTGAGGCCCTGGTTGATGGTAGCTTTCAAATTTCCACCATATAGTGGGTCTGCTCCTGGTTCTGCCACATAGGGAAATAGATGCCCTTGGACAAGTTGGCCTTTTTGTGCTTCAGTTGATCCATGTACAAAGCAGAGGTGATGGCAGGGTTGCATCCTAATTGAGAATAAATGAAGTCATGCTCCAAGAGCACTGGACCACTAGCTCAAAGTAGCTGTAGAGCTGGAGTCTAGGACCACAGTGTGACATCGACAGCACTGTGCTTTTGCCATTTTGAGGTCCGAGCTCACTCTTTGTGGGTGTCTGTCCCTTTCTCTCTCCTTTTCCTCTCTTTCCTTCCTCCCTTGTCTTTTTCCATCTCTGGGTCAGGCTTTCTGTATCTCAACAATCTTGGCTATGTAGCTCTCCTGGCTGGCCTCAAACTCTTGATCCTTCCACCTCAGCCTCCAGAGTGCTGGAATTATAGGCATGCGCCTCCACACCCAACCCTTCAGACTGATTTCTCCCTTGAGTCTGTGGGAATGCCAGTTTCAAGATTAAATGGCTGAAGCCGGGCAGAGGCAGGCAGATCTCTGTGAGTCTGAGACCAGCCTGGTCTACAGAGATAGTTCTAGGACAGGCTCCAAAACAATTAAAAAAAAAGAAAGAAAGAAAGAAAGAAAGAAAGAAAGAAAGAAAAAGAAAAGAAAGGAGAGAAAGAAAACTGGCTGAATTAGATTTCAACTCAGAGAATGTATAGTTCACTGCAGAATGAAACAACAAGCCAGGCCTAGGGTAGTGAGCAGAGCTGGTTTGTTGTCTTCTCTATTGACGGTGTCTCTCTTCTGCTCAGAGCTGTTTTTCTTATAGTTTTATTTCTATTTTTAAATTTTCCTTTATTCCTGAGACGGTAATACAGCTATCCAATGAAACATGCTCATATCAACCCCTCATTTCTTCCCCTTTAATCCCTCTCTGCTCTCCACAACATGTCTCTCTTCCAATTTCATGTCTTTGTTTTTGACAGCCTACTAAGTCCAGTTGGTGCTGCCCATGTGTGTGTAGGTGTGGGGACACCCACTGGAGCATGGGAAACCTACCTTGTCATATCTGGAAGACAGCTTTTCACAGCACTACTCCCAATACACTCTCCACCCTATTGCACCCAGCTAACTTTATGCCCTCTTGTTTCATGTTGTTTTATTAAACCTATCAAGTCCAATTTGTGCTGCCAGTATTTGCTTGAATTGTGGCCATACACTGAGTGTCGTTCACCTACCACATTACATTCCCTCCTCCCAAGGCTCAGGGATCATTGTGCAACAGAGGCAGAGTGTAAGAAATAGTGTAAGTCAGAGGTGATGGTAAGTGTTTTCCAGAGACAACAGGGCAGTTATACATATGAGTTCATAGTGTTTGTGACAGTGTTCACAACACCTGCTGGTGCCCAAGCCAGACAAAAACTCAGCATAAACAAGGGAGGCATGATGTCCCATCCCTAGCCGGGCAGCTGTTAGGTGATATCTTCTGGGAGAGGGAGAGCCAGTTTTCTTCCATTCTTTCTGCCTCCTTTTCATCAGTGAGTGTCCCAAGCCTTAGTAAGGTTCTGGGGTTGGGGGAAAGGTGCTGATGTAGGTGTCCTATTCAGGGCCGAGCACAGTCCCATTCTCAGCATCTCTGCATTGACTGCTGCTAACTGTAAGAAGGGACCTTCTCTGACCAGGGCTGAGAGCCGCCTGGGTCTGTGGCTGTAAACATGAATATTTAGAAGGCAATTTGACCTCATGGTGGGTTAGGGAAATAACAATAGCAGGCCCTACCTTAGGGCCTGTGGCTGCCCAGCCATGGGCTTTTGACCACACATGTTAGAAGTGTGTGTGGCAGAAGGAGAACACTCATGTGCTGTTGTTGGGTGTGTAAACTAATGCAGTTACTTGGGAAATCAGTCTGGAGGCGTCTCACAAAACTAAAAAAAGAACTGCCAATCAACCCAGCAGTACCACTCTAGGCTGTGTAGCCTGCTACACAGGTAATTGCACGTCCATGTTCACTGTGGCCTTGCACTGGGGTTTTGATGTAATGGGAAGAGAGAGGATAGTGGGTAGGCTAATTGAAACCCACTAGTTAGTAAACTAAGTTCAAAATGTAATGTTTTGAAAAAAAGTTTCAATGAAATCACCTTGCATGGGTGGGTAATACTGCCCCCAGATTTGTGTCATTTAATGAAAATTGCAGTGCAGGGCAGAGGATACCTCCCTAGGAGTTACTATTTAGGGAGGTCCCAAAGGTCTCCAAAATAACACAGGTTCTTGCCATTGTCCTTGGTTAGCTATCATGACTTCATATAAAGACTTTGTTGCTGAAGACACCTCACACTTAGGCTGTAGAGTACAGAGAAATCAATCTCAACCTGACCTGGAAACTTCCTCTTTGCTGACTAGTTCCCAAAATGTCAAAAGGGTCTATGTAGACTGCTGTAGGAGAGAAGACCTCAGTGGTCCTACCTAGCACTGGACTGTAAATGCTGCAAAACTGACTTGTGGAAAAGTTGTGTCCTGTGTAGTAGTGGCATGACGGTTATGGGTGGGCTCAAGGACCTGTTCCACAAGAGAAAATTTCATGCTTGGTCTTATAATTCTGGCCTTTTTCTTTTTCCTCAAAAATCTTTATTAGTTAAATTTGTTCTTTGACACTTTCATACATATATTTAGTGTATTCTGTTTTCTCTTACCCCATCCTCTCTTATCTCCCTCCTTTTAAGTTTTAGCTTCTTCCAATGTACTGTTTAAAAATTTCTGTGCTAGAGTTCAGTTCACATGTTCTGTCTCCGGAAAGCCTTACTCAGTCCCCAATCACCCGAGACAGACAAAAGCTAGGCCAGTTCAGTCTTTCAGGCATTCCTTTGGCCTCTTGCTTTTTAGTCATTGCTTCCTCACCATTGTTATTAATTAGTAAATAGGTCATTGCTGCACAGCCTTTCCCCTTCCTCCTCAAGGTCACCATGCCCAGAGGCCTTACTTTCTCAGTTTGCTGTGGCAGCAGAGCTCCTGGCATTGTGTACATCATGTGTGTTCTGTAAGAATGTCACAAATGACTGGTAATTGCATGATAGCAATAGTTGATAATTTTCTTCTTTTTTACTTATTTGGGGGGGGGTGGTAGTAGCAAAACAGCTACTGTGTAGCCCTGGCTATCCTGAAACTTTCTCTGTAGACCAGGCTAAACTCAGAGATCTGCCTGCCTCTGCCTCCAGATTGCAGCAACCCATTTTTACTTATCTGTTCTTTAAGAACAGAATCTTTGGCTGGGCAGTGGTGCTACACATCTTTAATCCCAGCACTCAGGAGACAGAGGCAAGCAGAACTTTGTGATTTCCGGGCCAGCCTGGTCTACAGAGCAAGTTCCAGGACGACTGGGACTGTTACATAGAGAAATCTTGTTTTAGGAAACCAAACCAAACCAAAAAAAAAAGTCCTCAAATCCCCAGTTGGCCTTGAACTTCTGATCCTCCTGTCTTTCCTATGCTGAGATTATAGGCATAGGCCACCACACCCAGTTCC